AAACTTTGCTTTAATAGAATAATTTGATATAATAGTTAATCTATATCTAATTCTATATTCAAATTGATTTAATAATCAAATAATAAAAGAATAGATCACCGTATAGAGACTAATCCTCTTCCGAGGACTAGCCGGAAAAGCGAGAATATAAAAGAATATAGAGTATAATTTCACCAAGTAAAGCTTGGAAGGGAATTTGGGGTCGAACTAGTAGTACTTATTCGTAATTATATAGTGATGCGGTTTGTAGAAGCAAATCCGCAAACCCAATTTATATGATAGCCCGGGTAATTTTGATATAAAAATTATATAGATTGCTAGTATTAATTGAATGAATGAATATTAGATATATATTAGCTATAAAAACCATCGATATAGATTTCTTATCAAATTGTATTGACGTTGACATATACATACGTGATTTCTCACTAATTCGCCGCTAATCAGGCCTAAGCAAAGTTAGCCCCTGAGTTCTCCATCTTTAAGTGGAGGTAATGCTAAGCCTATTTGAATTAATTTCTGCCACCGCCTCCCGGGAAAATAATAACAAACAAAACACACCGCCATCCATCCATATCTTTGTCCTCCTCTTGCACACAGTGCAAACCATTTTTCTTTCCCCTTTTCTCTTTTGCACATTTACTGGGGAAACACAGGGAAGCAGGGCAGGTGCAGAAAGAAGAGTACATACACATTACGATGTTGATCCAGAAACCTTTAATTCTCTTTATTGATGCATATGATTCATTCTCAAATAATATCATTTCTTTACTTGAAACTTCTCTCACCGCCTCAGTGCGAACGGTCAAAATCGATGATCCTATCCTATTAGCTTCTGATGAAGCCTTGCACGAAGAGTTGAGACATTATGTAGCAGTAGTATGCGGGCCGGGCCCTGGAAATCCGGAGACGGACAGTGATATCGGAATTATAAAGAAAATCTGGAGACTTGCCGATCAGGAAATGATACCAGTTTTGGGAATTTGTTTAGGATTTCAAAGATTGTGCTTGGAATTTGGAGGTCAAGTAAGAAGACTAAAAGGTCCACAACATGGAATGATTAGAAAGGTGGCACATGCGGGACAAACCGCCGTTGGAGACGATTCAATATTTTGTGGAGTAGGTGAGATCACCGCTACCTTGTATCAGAGTTTATGTGCGGATATAGGCCAAGACAAGATTCTAGATGAAGATTGGAACACATCACGATGGGAGACAACAGGAAAATGTCCCAATTTGATACCATTGGCTTGGGTTGAGAGTGCAGATCTAGAGGCTGAACATGCGAGAAGTTGCGGTGTGAAAGACAGCAGAGTTTTGGTCGGTGTACGACATGCAACGAAACCTTTTTGGGCAATACAATATCACCCAGAGTCGGCCTGCACAAACGATACAAGCAGAGAAATCTTTATAAACTGGTTCAAGTTGGCACAAGTTTGGAATAAAACTTCCAGAAAGACGGAGATCAATTACGACGGCATCATGCACGGTCAATCTGCTACACGAGTGAGCCTTCTCCAACAATTTGAAGCTCTACAAACAATGCCTGCATCCCCGACCAGCGATACTTCGATCGACAATATGAAGCCCAAAAATATGTGCATTTCCCGAACGATTGATTTACCAAAGAGTCTTTCTGTGCCCGATATTGTGGAAGCCATACAGGACATGGGACGAGATCATATTCTATTGGAATCTACCAATTCAGACGAAACTTCCGTCGGATCTGCAGATGTCAAGGGAAGATATAGTATCATTGGCCTCGATGTTGATGATTGTTTGAGATTCGAATATCGTGTAGGGGATGAATACATCACTAAAATCCCTTCTTCGTCTGGAGAATACCTTGATACTAAAGAAGAGATCGATCTGAAGTCTTGTGGTGGAGTATGGTCTTTATTGGCACATCGTTTGGAAGTTGCGCGTGTCACTGAAGGTAATGAAGAGTCACCATTTTGGGGAGGATTTATGGGATATACCACATACGAATTGGGCCTGGAAACTATCGATGTGAAAGTTGATAGAACTAGCACTCATGGCAATCGACCAGATCTCTGTTTCGCATGGGTTACTCGAAGCATAGTTGTGGACCATGTGAAGAAAATCATCTACCTTCAACAATTGGCCAGTCTTGGTGATAGCCAAAGTGATACTACATGGATGGAAGCTGTTGCTCCCAAACTTGAGAAGGCGTCTCAACCGAAGTCTGTGAAAAGTACCCGTCAAACGCCTCTCCGACCAGGAGATCTCGTCTTAGCCTGCGATCGCATAAAAGTATCTCGAAGAGAAAAGCGAGCCTGGTCACCAGTCCGCAGCCCCGCTTCCAAGTTCTCCATGGCCATCAGTCAACCCACGGCCGATTCCTACGAATCAAAAGTTCGTCGCTGTCAAGATAAAATCGTCAGTGGCGACTCTTATGAGTTATGTCTCACTGACCAAACCACCATCACTCGTCTTCGTAGTGATCCTCCTCATACATCAATCCACAACACCACTGAGTCCATTCTCCTTTACAACAAGACTCCAAGACCAGCTCCTGCTAAAGGTGCCTGGTCACTGTACAAAAATCTTCGTACACGTCAACCTGCCCCTTTCGCTTCTTTCCTTCGTCTTGGCCCTGCGACTTTAGTCTCCAGTTCCCCGGAACAATTCCTCAAGTGGGACAATCGTCTCGGAAAATGTTCCCTCCGCCCTATGAAGGGCACTGTTCGTAAGACCGACGAAGTTTCCACTCTTTCCGATGCTACCACGCTTCTCAATGATCCGAAAGAAAAGGCAGAGAACCTCATGATTGTCGATCTAGTCCGTCATGATTTGCATGGAGTTTGTGGGTCCGGCAACGTTTCTGTTCCACGATTGATGGTAGTTGAAGAATATGCATCCGTCTTCCAGATGATTTCTGTTGTCGAAGGATCTTATTTGAAATCTGTACCCGATGACTTATTGGCCCATATGTCATCACTCACCATCAAAGACGACAAGAGAACAAAGTACACTGGACTCGACATATTGGCTGCCTCTCTTCCCCCAGGATCCATGACTGGTGCTCCCAAGAAACGCAGCTGTGAAATCCTACAAGATATTGAACACCACAAAGCTCGTTCTCTATACTCTGGTGTCGTGGGTTACATGGATGTTGGCGGGCGTGGCGATTTTAGCGTTACCATTCGATCCATGTATCGATGGGATGATGAGGATGGTGTCCTCGAAGCAGAAGAGAAAGATATTGAGAAATGGCACATCGGTGCAGGTGGTGCCGTTACTGCTCTTAGTACCCCCATCGGAGAGAGAGATGAGATGTTGACAAAGTTGAATGGAACCCTTGGAGTATTTCGTTAAACAAAAGATTTCTTACATACGACGCGAGTCGGTTTATGCATTATGAAGGAAAAGATAACATGCGGGCAATTCCACTTGCCATGAAGTTATGGAGCTTATGATTGTTTCCTTTTTGGGGGATATTCCATACACAAATGTATGTGTCCCAAGACCCCGGTCCTCAATCTTGATACCTCAACGTATCATATCACACAGAGACTGGGGCAATATGATGATTTATGACCTTGGGATATGGGACTGGGACTGATACTGGGACTGGGTCTGGGATTGGGAGATGGGACTAAAGAAATTCTCAACGATACATATAATTCTAAAACATAGAAAGAAAAAAGAAAAGGTCCGCAAGGATCAAAACATACTTGGTAGCATAGATAGATACAATTCAATAGACGGGTAATACAACATTGTGTTCAATACATTTGGCTCGATTTTAAATGCTTGATTCTACTGATTGCTCAAATATATGCTCAAGACGTTTTGTTAAATAATTGACTTGTCCATCGTTCAAGATGACCTGCTACTCCTACTCCTACTCCTACATTGTACACTTGGAACCTTTTCTAGGTTGCCTGCTCATTATCGTGCCATGCCTTTCACCACTTTTGAGTTCATGCTTGTGACATTATTTCATTGCATTCATCGTTCGTATGGCTCAGTCCAATCTTTTGGCACCTTCTTCTCTGCGTCCCGTTCAACTTAATTTCTATATTTCGTACACTCCCACTCCCACTCCCACTTCCAGCTTCACCATTCCATTCCAAGTCCCAACGCATACCCCCTTCTTCTTGCCCCTTATTTACCATTCCCCCTCCGCATCCACATCTCCCTCACCATTCATTCCTCCCCTTCCTCAAAACTCCGCCTCCTCCTGAAAAAACATCCCAAAACTAATCACCGTCCCATAAATCAGCACTCCCCCCACAATACTCATGATCATCGCCGGCACAGTAATAACATGACTATGAGCCAACACCGCCGGCAGTGCAACCCCCATCATACACAGGAAACCGGTGCCGAAGCGACCGAGATCCATGATGCCCGACGACGAAGAATCCGAGAAATCATCGGGTGACGCACAGCGCGAGGCGAGGAAATTGGGTAAGGGTGCCAATATGAAGGTGAGGACGACGAGGAGTGGTAGGTATTGGTGGAAGAGCGCGCAGGATAGGATTACGAGGAGGAAGCCGAGGGCGAGGACCTAGGGGGGAGAGGGGAGGGTTAGTCAACTGCTTGGTAAGGAGGAGAGGGGGAGGAGGAAGTTGAGGGAGGAAGGGGGGAATAGAAGAGGAAAGGAAAGGAGACATACGAAGGAGAGAGATATGATAGTTTTTAGGCCGGCGGCCATATTGAATAAATTGGGGAAATCCACGATGGATGGATTGCGATTGGATTTCGTAGTTTATCTTTCGCTTTATCGATATAGCTTCCAAATCCAAATATCGTCTTGCGCGTGCCTTTACGATGCAAATCGTATAATATGATTTTATCGTTGCAGATGAATTGGGTGGAATGAGTTGTTGTGAGAATTGTTGGTTGATGATAAGGAGAGCTTGGTTGCTTGATTTGGGCTTGTTGATAGTGATTACAACCGCTTGAAGCTGACGTTTCCGAAGCACGCGCTTATTTGTAGCTTCATAGCCTTGTTGATCCACTTCTTATAGCAGCGGTATATTCCCTCATATTTGTGTCTTGATGGTCCTAGAACTCTTGCCGGTTTAGGAGGTGAGCTACCCTATACCTCAACCCTTAAATCGTACAACGCCTATTCGATATTTGAGCTTCATCATCATCGTGTCTGCCTCATAAAAGCGTTCTTATTTCTCAACCATAACATAACATTGACCTTTCGTTACGTCCAAAGATACCCTTAACTTACTTTTCTCACTGAATACGAGCGGCTCCAGCTGGTTTTCTCATTCACGATGTTTAGAAACAATTATGATAACGATTCTGTTACTTTGTAAGTCGTGGTTGAGTTCCTAGTGGTGGTTTGAGGTTTGGAGGGTGGGAAATTGGATTTGAGAATTGAAGCTGATGGATATAATGATAGCTCTCCACAAGGACGTATCTTTCAGGTCGAATATGCTTCGGAGGCTGTGAAACAGGGAAGTGTTGTCGTGGGAATAGTTAGCAAGACTCATGCTGTTCTTGTAGCTTTAAAGGTTGGTTATATTTACATTTTATGATGTCTATCTCCAAACAGAAGACAATATATCACCGAACTGTACCTTGACCTACACCTTCACCTTCGCCATACAATAATCAACACAAGCTAACAATCAAACTTCACCAACAGAGAAACGCAGAAGAACTCTCCTCGTACCAAAAAAAAGTAATCGCCATTGACGAGCATCTCGGCCTCGCCCTCGCCGGTCTCGCCTCCGACGCCCGCGTCCTCTCCAACTTCATGAAAAACCAAGCCCTCTCCTCGCGCCTAACCTACGACCGAGCCATCCCCCTCGAACGCCTCGTGGCTTCCATCGGCGACCGCGCCCAATCCAATACTCAACACTACGGCAAACGACCCTACGGCGTCGGACTCCTCGTAGCCGGCGTCGACGAAACCGGCCCCCATCTCTTCGAATTTCAACCCTCGGGCATGACGCACGAAATGGTAGCGTGTGCGATTGGCGCGCGGTCGCAAATGGCGCGCACGTATCTAGAGAGACATTTGGAGGAATTTGCAGAGTGTGGGAGAGAGGAATTGGTGAAGCATGGGTTGAGGGCGCTGAAGGAGAGTTTGGCGCAGGATAAGGAGTTGACGGTTGAGAATACGAGTGTGGGCGTGGTGGGGTTGAAGCCTAAGGGTGAGAAGGGTATTGAGGCTTTCAAACTTTTTGATGGGCAGGATGTTAAGCAGTGGGTTGATTTGGTCGCTGATGGTGCTGAGGGTGCTGAGGGTGCGGAGGCGGCTGATAGTATGGAGGTAGATGCTTAGGGGTTGGGTGATATGATGGGTATAATATGATCGTATGGTAGATGGGGATGATTGGCTTTACGCATGATTAGACGAATTAAATCGCATACCAAAATTTTATCTATTCAAATTCTAGGCATGCAAGATTGAGCGAATATATGATTGTTAATTCTAAACAGGAACGTTGGACATGGTCTTGAGGTTTAAGAATACTTGAATCTATTCTATGGCTCCTAAACCCACAGGAGCGTACCTAGGTCCTAGCGAGACGAGAAAAAGGAAACCTCTAGCTAGGTGTTAGGTGATCGGATTGCATTATAGTGGACATTTGTTTAGTATATGATTCATTTATTTATTCATTTACTAGTTTGTTGGTTTATGTGGTATATCATACTGTACGAGTGAGTATCTTGTTGAATCCGAGTACGAGTACTCGAGTATATGTATTTATAACTTTAAACTTGACATCTAGTTTCTTTGGTAGAATATTATGTGTATGTGTACGAGTACCTATATATGTATATACAACCTGAATTGGGATTTTGGATTTAGTATTATAGAGGGGGTTTATCAAACATTTGTATGATGGGGGGGAGGGGGAGAGGGGTTCACAATAAGTGAGAAAAGATGATTTGTTACTAGATTGGGTATTGAGTGGTTAAGAAAGTGGTCTGTCTATATGCTATATGCTATATGACATGCAAGCTATGTATGCACTGGCGAAAAAGTCTAGAATGCAAAGGTGGTATGTCGAGTGTCGACTCCATCCCGAGAAACGAAAAAAGTCCATCGTGTTGCGTCTTTTCAAGTAAAAGGTGATGGTGAGAAGAATGCCTCCCGGAATGATCATAAACCCTCTACATATTGCCTCCTCCACATCCCCAACGCCTCCCGCTTACCCACACGCACTACTAATTGCAAATGCAACATCTACCACCTTTACGCCCATCCTCTCTCATTCCATAGGTAACCTACTCATTTCCCCACTCCAACTTAAACCTCCCCTCTGTCAACTTATAATTCCTCAACGCCTCAATTGCCTCTTCCGCCGTAGCAGCATCCACAACAATCCCCTTATTATTCTCTCCCACAAACCCCGCCGCTACCGAATTATGAATCCACTGCATTAACCCATCCCAATATCCTTCTACATTGAGAACCACTACACCGCGATTATGAATACCCAATTGATTCCAGGTGACAACCTCCATTAATTCCTCGAGCGTGCCATAGCCACCAGTCAATGCAATGAATCCGGAACCGGGACCCCCAGCTAAAACTTCTTGTGCCATCATGGATTTTCGCGTATGCATATCTTTTACCACGGTTGTTTTACCATAGACGCCATATTGCGGGAGGCCATCCCCATTTTCTAGTGTCCCGGTTCCGTTTTCCTCTGAGTGAATCGATGCAGCTTCGCTATCGGGACCACGCTCATATTTGACCAAGGGAGCAGGGATGATTCCGTGAACAGAAGTGGGTCCAGAGAGAGAAACGAGGGTTCGAGCTATTTCACCCATGAGTCCTACGGTGCCGCCGCCGTAGACGAGGGATATGTTTTGGGAGGCCATGTGTTGGGCGAGGGAATGAGCCATTGCCATGTGCGCGGGACTGAGGCCTGGGGAGGCACCGCAGAAGACGCAGATTTTTGTGGCTGGTGGAGTTGTGGTGGAGGAGTTGGTGGTTTGGGCTAAGGGGGAGGAGATAAGGGGATTGGTTGATTCGCGGAGGGAGGGGACGGGGGAGGCGGATGAGAGAGGGGAGACACCACCGGATGCCATTTTGTTTTGGTTTATTGGTAAGGGCTTGGTGTTGTAGTTGTCGTTGTTCATAAAATTGGAATAGAAAAGAGATCTCGAGAATTGGTTTTGGTTTTGGTCTTGTATGTGGTATGTATATTGCTAGACTTGAGATCCTCGAGTACGTGTTTAAGTATGGAAACTAGGGGCAGTAGTGGAGTTATCTGCAGGTACAACCGTACAAGATGTTGTCTTCTGATGATTATATTTTAAGAAAAACGACCTGTAAGAAAAGGAAACGTGGTTTTAAGAAAGGACTGTAGATTGATCACTTTAGTATGGTAGTGTAATGAATTTGTATCTAATGTACTCGACTTATTGTTGAGTATGATACGGTCACCCCGCAGTTTGTGGGGTCGTTAGCGTGGTTTAATTGGCTATGTCATGCTTATGTAAGAGGAACAGTACTTGAAATTTTGATGGGCTTATCTCCGTGAAGCTATCTCCGGATCAACTCGTCCCGGATGAGCTGCTGGATTCAGGGGACTTGATCGATCCCTGGACTGGGATGAGAATTCATTCTTAGAGTGTCAAGCCATACGATACACATCAGGAAGATGCAATAAATGGTGAATGGACATCCATAATCTGGTCACTTCGAAATTGGAGGCCTTGGTCTCGATTTCATAGCATGAGTCCTCATCACCAATCTGAGCTCGTCTTTGTCACAAGTGTGATATTATATTGAAACTGTATAGCTAGTGTTGCTTTCGTTTCGATTGCTCCAAAATGGACTCGCAACTACGTACAACAGTGCTACAAGTTCATTCATTGAAGCAATATCACGTCAGCCAGCAGCGACAGAGTTTGCCGATAAATTCCTGCATCGGCGAGCAGTTTGGGTGAATTTGGAGCTGAAAACTTAGTGTTGGTAACTTTCCAATTCGCAGTGTCGCATGCTCCCACTTCTGCATAAGTTGCCACTGGTATCCATATCTGTTATGAAGTATCATATGGAAGGCCAATTGTTGGATTGAGTAGCGAATGCGTGGGGATGAGTATTAGCATGCAACCATTTTGTATGATGTATAGAACATTATACTGGGTCGATATCCGGTCTACTTTGTTGGAACCAATTTGATTCGTGCTGATTGAGCTGTAGATATCGCATTGTCCTGACTTGCTGTTGAAAGATTATTGCACACTGAGGTATTTGGTATGGAGGATGATTTTTCACAGGTAGATGAACCGCGCCTTCGTTGTACTTTCTATACCCACCTGGAACCGATTGCTTGACCCAAAAGCACGAGAGGTAAACAGCTTTTGCGGCTGGTGGTAGAGTGGCAAAAACCCTGGCCCAAATACGGACGACTTGAATAAAACTCCCGCAATCGAAAAAAGGTTCCTCCTCCCGCTCGTTGAGGGCGGATTAGTCTATTCTAGTAGATATAATTCACTACATATACAACAGACCATATACTACAATCACCACTCCAAAATCCACTTCAACCCGCAGTTGTTTATACTAGCGGAGATCGTTCAATCACTTCTAAGTGCCGTTTGTGTAGTGTCTAAACCTTGATATAAGAGATGTCTTTGGTTCTGCCTTCTTCCTTGGTGTATTCGATTCCAATCGTTTTCCTTCACAAAGACTTGTTCCCCAAAGAGACTCATCCTCCAGGGCGAACGAACATGGATCATTCAATTCTTATGTTTCATTTGCACATTGAAAATCACCACGGTGCCAAAGCTCATCCAAAGTCAGGTAGTTTAGTTTTCAACTACCCAACCTTGCTGCTAGCAATATTTCATATGCTTGGCAGCCTCATTGTGATCATGTACCCCCGCGCATTTCGTTGCGAGCAGGTCCATTCTTCTATGGTGGTGCTGCTTTACACTATGGAAAGTCAGGTGTCAATTCGTATTCAATCTTTTCAAAATATGTGCTTGTAGGCTACTTACTAATTACTTAGGGTTAGGGTTGTTGAGGTTAGAGTCGCCACCTTTGTCTGCCACGACATTCAAACAGAAACTACACTGGGCCATGGATCAATATTTCAACCCAAGGCAGATCGGAACCCCTTCTCAACCAAGGAAACTACCTTTGTTTCCAATACCAAGATTCGCTTGCCTTCCGAATTCAGATGTGTTTATCATCAGCAGAATACTCATGGCATGGCTTTGCTATTTTCCAAGGATATTATCAGGAAAGCCTTCAGATCGGAGATTATGGTCCTGACAAAGAGAAATTCTTCAGAAGAATACGGCACGTTACCACAAAAGAGATGGTCAGAAGAATAGCACTACCTGTGTTGTGGATTCTACCTGAAATGCTGAGCCTTTCTGCCCACCATTATTTTATATCTGCAGTCGCGGTATTTATAGGCGGCGCCAAAGCCATACCAGGCTGGAATTATGCTTTATACGGGTCATTCACGGAAGCATATACTATCCGAAGGTATTGGGGGTTGGTATTGACCTCGAATTACTATATAGATTGGAGATCTTGTGCTAATACTGCCTAAATTGTCAGAATCGTTTGGCATCATTCATATCTTCAAAGATATTTCGCATTCCACGAAATTCCAGTGCTATATTTGATATTATTTACCTCTGCGGGGATGCATGCTATGATTTATCTTCCAGCAAAAACGAGGATTCCAGGCTGTGGAGTCAGTCACATATTTCATTGGTATTCCCTATTTCCATGTGTTATTATCGCTGAAGATGTTGTGCAGAAGTTGGGGAAGAGAGTATTGATATATTATGGATGGAGATCAGAAGCGAGATGGTGTTACTGGGTTGGAAATCTATGGGTTTGGGGACTCTTCGCTTGGAGTTTACCGAAGAGTTGTATTTCCAATGGACGATTGCGTGTCTTGATGGAGCTATGACCCGGTAGTTTGATACAGACCTCCTTAAAATACTCGGCAGTTATCATTATTGACGTGTTTAACATGCTCGATAAGCCTCCGAGGATGTGAAATATGGGAATTGTTGAATTGCCATACCCGAATCTGATGTGCTAATTTCGCTTTCAGTGCCTGAAATGACGATCTTCCGACAACTCACATATGCTAATTGTAATCCCATATTATTGGAACGTAGAATATTTGTATTCATGAATTTGTGGAAAGTGAATTATAGATCTTCAAGGAGGGTCGCTTTACTTATCGGAGACCGGAACCAAAGTTGTTCCGAGCACTCCATAATTATTTACTCGAGTACATTTAGACAACGTACCTACTTGCTCTCACACCTCATCAGAATTAGAACCAGACGATCAGAACATTCTCAACATGTCGTCTGAAGCAGGTCCTCCAACTGCGGGTGCGCAAGCTAAAGAAGGCGGTATGAGTGTGAGTTCCTCCTAAAACTACCTGTCAAAATTTACTGACAACGTCATGAACAGCCGATGATCAAATCCGCCGTGCAGGGTATCGCCATTTTTGTTGGCATGCAATTTTTGATGAAACAAATAACTGGGAATACAGGGTCTACAACTACTACTACGACCGATACCTCGGGAGCAGTTCTGAATGTGCCAGCAAATAACGGCGAAATCCCACCGTATCATGCCCGACCCGACAGATTAGACGAAGGAGCAGTATGGAGTCCTATTCCACAAAGGATTGCGCCTATGTGGCCCACGGATAGCTCTCTCGATATCACTATTGTTGTATCCCCAACTTTCGTTGCGGAACCAACGGCAAAAGTCCCGAGGGAGAGAGTCGTTCTGGTTGAAACGGGTTTCGTATTTGGAGATTATAACCAGCATCGATCGATTGATGCGAGCTTTGATGTCCCCTCTGAGGTGCAGAACAATGGTACACTTTGGGGTCACTTTTATATTGGACTTTCTGGAAGCAAATTAGATCCTGCCACACCCGGTTATGATCCTACAAGGGCGTTTCATTTTGTTCACCCTTTGACCCAGTATATTACTCAGAAGAAAATAAGGAAGACGAAAAATCTTCTATCAGCAGCTCAGGAGAGCGATGAGGTAAGCTCTCTTAACACTCAGTTATATAGTATAGAACTACACTAATGGTCAAACAGTCAGAAGAGATTCCCACCGGACCTGTAATCAAATCCCACTATCATCCCAACTTTACAATGTCCTTTATCCCGGATTCTGGCGTCATGGATTTCCCATCTTTGCACCCTGCTGCTCGTCAATATGTTCATTTGGAGGCGAGTGGCTCTAGAGACGGCACTGGACTTAATGGATGGTACTATCCACTACTCTTTGTCAACACTTTCTGGCAGTTGAAGACCCATATGACAGTCTTAAATTCAACGGTCACCAGACTTCCTATACATATTGACCTACAGAACTTTGCCAACTGGAAGTTCACCTTAATGGCGAGTATGGATGAAGGCGCGAAACAGACTGCTAGAAACGCTGCTCAAGGACAAGCACCGCCCGGCGGTGGGGATGGCACCGAGTTTGAGATGATCAAAGAAGTCTTATTAGACACTAATATCTATCTTTTGGCCACCACGGTTATTGTTAGTATCTTTCACATGATCTTCGAGATGATGGCCTTCAAATCCGACATTAGCCATTACCGAAATAAGAAGAACAATGTCGGAATCTCAGTTCGTTCAATCCTCGCAAACGTCTTTATGCAAGGTGTTATTTTCTTGTATTTGTTGGACAACAACGAGAATACCAGTAAGTTTGACTTTTGACCCAGATTCATGATCAAGAGTGCTCACCATAATTCTTAGGTTGGATGATTCTGTTTACTCAAGGAATGGGAATCGTTCTCGAATTCTGGAAAATCACTACGGTTGTCAATGTTCGTATCCGCGATGCGCCAAATTCAATTATACCATATCGCATCGCTTTTGAAGACAAGCATGTCCTTTCCGAGACAGAAGAGAAGACCAAAGAGTATGATGCTGTTGCTTTCAAATACATGTACATGATTGCTGTGCCTCTCCTCGTCGCTTACGGGGCTTACTCTTTGAAATACGAAAGCCACAAATCTTGGTACTCTTTCGTAATCGCAACTCTTGTTGGTTCTGTCTACGCATACGGTTTCTTAATGATGGTCCCTTCACTCTACATCAACTACCGTCTCAAGAGTGTCGCGCACATGGCAGGTAGAGCTATGACGTACAAGTTTTTGAACACCTTCATCGATGATCTTTTTGCGTTTACTATCAAGATGCCGACGCTACATCGCTTAGCGACACTCAGAGATGATGTTATTTTCTTCGTCTATCTTTATCAAAGCTGGAAGTACAAGGTTGACTACACCAGAGTTAACGAGTTTGGACAAGGTGGCGATGAGGAAAAGATCGCTAATCAGCCTTTGAAAAGTATCTCAGGAGCTGATGCAAGCGTCAAGGTGGGGATTGAAGGTGCCAAGGTAGCTGATAATAATGTGGATGAACTTATTGGTAAGGCTACGGGAAGTTCAAATAAGGGTGGAGCAACGAAAAGGAAGTAAGCAGACGGGGTAGGGTTATTGATATGTAAGTATAATGACATCAAGGGACATGTGCGCAATTAGTTACTTTCGATATATCAGAAAGCGACATAGGTGGAAAATCAATTCACAAGTATATTTATCTCAACTGAATAATTTCAGCCTCATGCACTCGATTGTTGTTATCAGAGATCCATATCGCAACTACAGATTCACTCAAACATCTAGAACATCTAAGACATCCCAGACTCAGTGTATCAACCCTAACTTTACCGAAGTATCGGTCCACATGGGTAAAACCCGTGCAAGTAGTTTTCGCCAAGTACATGACATTAGGGCTTGGGGCTTGAACATCTTCCGGGGAATCTGAGTCATTGTCCGCTGGTAATTGGCTTTATTGTCGAATATCATGACGCGTTTGCCTCGTGTTAGGATGTGGTAATGTGGAGATGTGATGGATTTCTGCGGTTTTATAATAGCAGATGCAGAGAAGGCATTTGTTTTGGGAAAGTCTCGCTGGGTATGCTGTTGGTAAGAGGATTTGGATTGGATTGGATTGGATTGGATTAGATTGACTTGGTGAATTTTATGGTAAGTGATGGGCCTGGTATGTGTAGGTATGTTTTACAGAAGTGCTCAATGAGGGGTTGTAAGTTGTAACCCCTTCACTAGCGTTATCATAATGTACCTGATTTGGTGTGATTTCGTCTCTAGACCGCGTGTAACTAGAGTATTTCTTGAAGTGGTATGGAGTAATCGTAGGGGATGTGCACTTCAGAACAACCTAATGTGTGGCCACTCACAATTGAAGTTTGTGAATTGGCAGAGAATGTTCAACAGAGGATCCCGCGTTCCAATGTTCCAGTGTGGCAGTACACGAAGGAGCCGGAGAAGTTTCTTCGTAAATGTGGGATGTGGGATGTGAGTGTTGTCTTGTGGCATGGAGGAGATTCCGAGGTGGCGCAGTGGCAAATGGCCTGCTGTCCGCTTGATGTAAGGTGGTGTTTGTATCTTGGCATTTACATACCGGACTATTCCATCACCTTCGAAGACCTTTTGTTTTTGGGGGCTTGAAGAATATTAATATGGATTAGCTAGTGTGGATGGACGAATATGGTAGAGCTTGACATGATTAAAGCATATTACTCGTACAAGTGAACATCGATGTATGCCAAGATCATTCTCCATCTGCTCAGAGCAAACTTGGTCAAAGTGCTAGCATTGCTACTAGAGAGCATTGAGTAGTTGTCAAGCGCAGTCAAAGTGATGAAATTCTGCACGCTCATTCCCATGTGGCTCGATCTTTTGCAGCGTGAATTGGAACGTCTAAGGGCGGTGAAGGTGCGGTAATAACCATTCGTGACCTGCTACATATTCAGTAAGAATCGATATCAACATTGATATCAATTTCTATATTTATACCTTCTACTTCAACTACCTGTCTATTGCGATACAACTTGAGTCAGAATGCGGTTCTCGTCCCCAACCATTACTCTCGCAGTGCTCTTCCGCCCCACTCTCTGTGACATCGTCATCCATGAAGGCACAGGCAGTGTGATAACATCTATTTCCACTCCAATAACGTACTACTCTCCGTCCACGTTGGTTTCCTCTGTCTATCCCATCAGCACCGAAGCTACCGCTACTGATTATTATACACCTCCTGGGTCAACTGGCTCTTACTCTTCTCTCCCATCTTCTACGACTTATCACACGTACTCTCGTCACGTAACAAGCGAACCAACCGTCACGTCTCCTACGACTTATGCACTTTCCACAACTACTACTTCTTCAACACCCAGCTCCTGCATATCTCCAACTTTCACTTGGTCGGGACCCACAGATTTTCCAACACCTATAGCAGCTAGGGACAGTTACCGCATGGGAAGACGTGATGACCCTCCCAAGCTTACTCCACAGCAAGGTACGCTTAGCATGCAATCTTCTCGCCCCTTAAAACATGTGCAATGTTCCAAGATGACTAATTATCACCCATGTATCAGTCGAGGACATGAGAAAAATCGTTGCGTTATGGGATAAAGTGGAGAAAGCGAAGCCAGTAATTGATAGAGCGATTGCAGCCCACGAGACCGACTGTCAAAGTTTCAAAGATTTGATTACATTACAAGAGAAGTTCGATACTAATTTTTCTTCCAATTATAGCTGAAGATGCTGGCAGAGTTCTTTGCTGGCCTTCAGGAATGGCTCGATGAACGCCACTTGTGATTTACACTGATGCGGGTTACGAACGAGGCGGGAGAGAAAATGGGGTTTCCCATCTCTTTGGTCGAGAAGACTTATGGAAACGGAATTCGGGGTTGAGTGGAGAATGGAGGCTGAAGAAAAGTTTTGCTTGTGCTCTTGACATTCGTTTTGAAATCTATCTGTCATTATATACTCATATGCCCATTTCGCACTCACGAAATATTAAACCTGCAGTGCATGGCTAGTCTGATTTAACATGTATTCCCAACTCATTCTCGCAGCACTCATCTCTATTACCCTGGATCAAGTTACCACCACATCTTCAACGAACGGTATTGTGGTAGAGTATTGTATCAGTACGATGATTTATTATGAGCCTAGCAGTTGTGTATTCGTTTACTCGTCTAATGGATCAGAGATCTCCTCTCATATTTCCACAGCTTCCAGGGGATCAGGGCCTTATTCTTTGAGCTCATCCCTCCATACTTCGTCTGGCTTTCCCAAGATTTCTGAGGTTTCTGAGTTGTTGTTTGTTACAACAACTGCATACTCTTCTGGCAATGGATCATCCAATTACGACAGGAGCGCCATAGAAATTCTGTCGACTTCGACCAGTTTCGATACATCAACTAGTTCTTCTTCTAATGGGTATCCATCCGCAACAGCAACAAGTGGCCCTGACGATGACCCTCAAGACGAGGACTTCAGCCTAGAACTGTTGCACACCAGTGAGTTTCGTTTCCCTCAATCTGCATGTAACCATAACTACCTCGGGGCTTCTCTTTAATTGCCAGATACATCAGCTAAAAGCCTCAACCTTTGTTGGTTATGATTAATCAGAGAGTAGTGTATCATGTTGTTGAAGAAACAGTAAATCATAAACGAGGGAAGTTCAAAATTGAGTTCCCAAGCTTACGTGACATCTGATCCTGGCACTTCCAGGCCCCAACGGATAGCTTCATCTGTATCTCTTTGTGCTCTGAGCTATTACGATTGTACCGTATCGTACATCGTACCGAATCCAGCACTAATAATTCAGAAATTTTCGTTTAGGAACTTCAGGTACCGGTATCAACAAATTCGACAGGATTCGCTGGCAGTGGTAGTGTGAGGTTTGGATAAATGCATCAAGATTTGCTGATCTGGACTGGATCTGTTGCGAAATGCTTGAAAAAACCTGGTGCAATTCTCATACAAAGAATTGTACACTGTTTTGGTGATTATCTTGGAGAGCACTTGCAAGTGATGAAGAAATGAAGGTCGATATGCAGACATAACACGTGGTGTGGCTTGGGTGTGAGTGGCTAGATGACTTTGCTAACAATTGAACCAAATATCAAAAGAAACTAAATCAGCAATCTTCACTCCTCATTATCCTCCAAATCCCACTCCTTCATCGGCGCATCCACCCTCAAAATCCCATCCTCATCCACATACGCACCTTCCTTCCTCTCCACCCCCTCAATAAACAACTGAGGCTTCTCCTCCAAAAGCCCCACCACCCAACACGCCTTACTAAACTCCACTCGAAAATCCCTCCACTCCACTATCTTTTTCTCCTCATCCCATTCTCCTATCTCCGCTAATTCCGCTGGCATGCTTTCCAGATATGTCCACAGAACAACCGTTTGATCTTCGATACTGCGTGCATCGAGTACGGCAAATGTGTTTCTGCTGAAATAGTAGGGGTCAGTTTGGGGTGCAGAGCGCACGAATGTGGTGAGGGTGGATTGAGAGGAGTTGAGGAAACCGCTTTGGAAAGGGGATATGTTGGTGCGGGTGCGTTTGCCGAGGGGAGTTTCGGTGGGGGTGCGCACGATGCTCCAAATTTTGGAACTTTCTTCGGTTCGTTGTGAAAGTCGGATGAAGTGAGAAATTATCTGGGTAAGAGTTAGTGGTGATGGTGATGGATCAAGAAGAAGGGCAATATACTTCAGGTGAGATTTCAGCTGTGCAAAACGTGAGGATGGTTTCGGCCATCTTGATAGGTTTGTGTGAGAAGTTTCTTGGGGTGGTGGGATGGATCTGTGTTGGTGAAATTGTGCGCTTAGCTATTGAGAAATTGTCTACTGATCTTTATGTTTTAGGATAGGTTATGATATAAGGTAAATCGTCTAATTTCAGTCACGCCGCATTATGTAATCCGAGGGGTGGCTTGCATGAAACGCATAAAGCGCCGTCTGATAGAATAAGCACAAATATGGCGCAGCCGGCTGTCTCAATCGAAGTGACTGTGTTTTATTTTCGGCATCATTGACTAGATAGAGCTTGACAACTGACGATGGCTCGATTTTCGCTTAGATTCAGGAGTGCTAAATGGCACGAACGCTTTAGATGCTATAGCCCCTTAATTGATACAAAGATAAAATTTCAACCCAAAACTAGCCAACAACTGAATAGCAATAGACAACAATACGACCACCCAAAGAACACACCCACAATACAAATACAAATAAGAAAAGAACCCTGTCGATCAATCACGATCTCCGATTCATCCATATCATCTTATGACACCCGCTTAATTCTTCGCCGGAAGAGCATGATAAGAAATCTTACTACTGCCCACCTGCCAAGTACCACCTTTCGTATCCTTATTATTAGAACCATAGCAATTCTTTCCATTCGCCTTTGGATCCGTCATCTTCAACAAGTAAGCTTCGCACGTTGTGATGTCAGGTGTGTGATTTGCATCCGAGTATTTGTTATGGATTTCAACTAGATAAGCAAGATATGTCAGTTTGTGTTTGCTCATGGATTGGGAAATTCGGGGAAGTCATACATTCGATATGTCCTGGTACTTCATTCTTCAGTCCAATTCGGGCTCCATGGTCGGGACCGGCTTCGAATTGATAGGTGCGAGTTAGGGATAGCTTTTTTCCGGGGCCGATGGTAAAGGGGTTTCCGTCTTGGTCGGCGGAGATAGAGAAACAGAAGGCTGTTACGGCGCTTGAGTAGCCCCTATTGATGATTAGTTTGCTATTTACCCAGAAGTTAAGATTGTGATATTGATGCATACCAATATAAAGCGTAATGACTATCATAATGATCAGAAATAGGAGTCCATTCACTCCCACAGCTCGATACGTAGTCACTATTGCGCTTATCCAAAAGTGAAGATCCGACGCCTTTCCTGGAAATCTCCGGAGGAATATCAGAGTTAATGTCGCTAATTGTGACGGTCAAGTTGTCTCTGGTTGTAAGAATCTGGGCATTGATCAGAGTATCGCGCTTTTGATCGCTGCTAGTATCGTCTTCGATAGTAACACTGAGACCGTCGTGCGTTTTGTAGGTATCACGCTTTTGGTCATTGCCGCTATCGTCCGTGATGGAGACGACTAGACCATCGTGGGTGGTGATGTCTTCTCTTCGGGTGAGTTGAGAAATATCCGATTGAGGAGCCGGGAGGGCCAAAGCCATAGAGGCTACGCCAAAGAAGGTGAGAAATTGGATTGAATGCATGATGTTTGAACTTAGACGAGACCAAATGGTTAAGGAAAAGTCTAAATGGAGTCCTAACTAATTGGAATATATTGAGAATGATGGCGATGGGAGTAATGATGAAGTTTGATGTGATGTGAAGGCATAGTAGAGATGAGACGGCCTTGCTTTTATGTTAGTCGTAGCTCCACATCGCCGTCAAGTTCTTCACTATTTTGAGAGCATCACTTCAGCTGTAATCCTTCATTCCTAAATTCGAAAATCTACCATCCATAGATCGCGTTTTGATGCACTTGTTTGATCAGAATCTTTAGAAAACACTCGGGAGGGTGGCTGAGATACCACACAGAATGGATATGACTGAACCTATGTTTAGAGATTAGAATAGACATAATTCGTCGACATCAATCTTTCAGAAAAGACCTAACACGATACCCTTGGCAACCTGACATATAGTTTTGGATATAGTGCTTCGCCGCCTTAGATTCTTCACAGAGAGGTTTATCTGGACATCGACAAAGAATGTGAAAATAAGCTGTCTGGGGGTTTAAGCACTGAGCGACAATGCTTGTCAAAGCGGCGTTTAGGTAGTAGCTGGGCAACGGGTCTGCATTTACAGACGTCATCTAAGCTTGCCAAGCTTAGTTGACAAGAAGATCGGGCGCCGGCGGTACACATTATGTGAACTTAGCATCGCCAAGATCCAAAAAGTATGCTTGAATCCTTTTGAACATGGGTCTTTTGCGGCGTAGTTCATGCGGTTCAAGTGCATGGAGATATATCTCGTCTAATCCCCTTTAACCCCGCGTGTAACTTTTCAGCGGCTCGTGTATGCTGATGTGATGAGAGTCATACAGCCTCGACTCTGCCCCGCCGGAGATATTGTTCAAACTCTTACTGACGTCTTATCATCATTTCGAAGCGTAGTACGTAGGTGTCATTCCTTCAAATCCTTCAGCGAGTGCTGAGTGAGTCTTTGGTCGACGGCCCTCTACTTCTAACATACATACCTCTCAAAGCCATGAGAATCAAATATGCTCATTCAACCTTACCATATCTTCTTCAGTCTTGTAGCAAACCAGCTTTTAGTGCATTGCCATAACCAAAATCTTTTCAGATATCTTTTGTTAGCAAGAACCACAGAAAATGCAGCTCCTCACATTCATCCAAGTCAGCATACTGCTGTCTCTACATCTACAAGCCGTCAAAGCTGCCCCAATAGACGAGCCTTTACTCCAACGCGATGCTGAACTTTACAAAAGAGTTCCTGGCGATAGTGCTCAAGACCCTATCATGGCCGAACTGGCATGTACCGGAGTTGAGCCTGTCTGCGAGGCGGATTGCATTGCAATTCTTTGTCACGGAAGGCCTCAAATCATGTATAGTCTTCCCAGAAGAGTTTAAAAGGCCGGCCTTAACATATCTTTAGGCAACGAGACACGGCAAATAGGGCTGCTCATTACGCACAGAGCGGAGCAGGCCTGACCCCTTTTCAGGACACTCCAGCAATGATGCAGAGGCGTGGGATTAGCATCCCTGATCTACTCTACAATAGTGCTGAAGAAACCACCTACGAATCGGCTGCTCAGGGTGGGCCCGGCACTGTTCTCTTCCCAGTTCCCCGGGATCTGAATCTAGGTAAGCCATCCATCCTTCTTCCTCAGACTAACTTAAATTTAAATCGTAGAGCATGGAAGGCGGATTGGCGCGATGTACACCAACTTCGGCATCACGAATGGAAGATGGTTCAAGCAATTGTTCACCTTTCTCAATTCACAAACGTATGAATCAAACTCCCTAGTCTAACCATAGTAAACTAATCCCCAGGATAGCCCGCACTGTCTTGCATTGATGCAAGATCCTCCCGATGACTCCATCTGCAGAAAGCGACTGGGAAATGAATTCACTGGCCAATATGATCTCAAGCCGTATGCGTTTGTTAAAAACCAATTGGTTACTAACCCAATCACATTCACGAACCTTTTCAAGGGCTATCTCACTAAGCGTGATGACGGAAGTGAGGTTCTTGAGAACCCTGATGAATCTAAACGGGAGGTGCCAACTATGGAGGTCAATACCGAATAAGTCCAGGAGGGTTTTGCTTCACGTCGAGATGGTAAGCTGGATGTGCAATTAGATCTGTTGTGGTGTGGCGCTTTGTTTTCAAGACGTCTTTTAGATACACAACTGTAGTTCTTGTTTTTCTGTTGTTTATTCTTTGACAATTTCTGAGTTTGTTTTCTCCTGTAATATGATCTGACGAACTTTCGTCCTTAAGTCCAGGAAGATGAATGCATAATCAAATAAGGTTGCTATTGTGAAAAAAAGGCTGCGAGGTGGGGAAACAAAGCATGTGGCTTGCCAAGAGTAAGTTTCGAGTTATACAGCATGAACGCCTTCTGACCCCAATGTTTTGAAACGGTGTTCACAAGTAAGCGATGAAGTTTTGATAGGCTCCTTCGTGTGGAAACTCTTGGCAATATCCTATTTAAGGCAATCTCACTCTGTTGTTCTAAACTCGTGAAAGAGCTGACGACTCTTTGATGGATGTCATTGTTGAATTCAGAGCCACCACACGTGGCTGTTGTAAGCATTCGATAGTGGTTGGCTCCTCCCTCTCGGCAAAATGTCAGCCCCAGATGGCCGCCAGAAGAATTATAATAACGTGCTCGACAGGTTTCTATATTATATAAATAGTATACTGAGCACTGTGATAAGCAAGTGAAAAGATTTCTGACTCAGTGTCTGTATTTATCAAGATCATCGTCATCATGATGAATTTCTCATTCCATAGCGGCGCAGCTCGAATGAACCGCATATCAATTCCCTGTATAATCAATTACTTGTGTGACAACTCCACGATTGGTTAATGATACAGGATGAAACATTATTATGTCGTACCAAGTTGATAATCAAGTCATTTTGTATAACGCTGCGCTGGGGGCCATTGGATAATAGCGCTTGTAGAGCCTTCAGCGGACAGCCAAACCTCGAGACTCACTAAGCACCTCACAATCTCTGACCTCATGGGGTAAATCTCGAGAATCCAGTATGCCTGCTTATATCGACGAGTTTCGTATAGCTGAAGTGAAGTACGAAAGCGTTTTGCTACGTAATTTTTGATAAGACATGACAAAGATGATGTGAATTGCCGCAGATGATTAGGCGGCTGTGTATTTTAAATCGAAGCCTCAGTGAAGGTCCAAAGAAGAACAAACCTAGCTAAACATTCGTCTACCTCTCTCCAGGCTTCTGTTCATCTTAGCTTATGTAGCTTCGACCAATCTCGTCATTATCTTCTTTTTCGATTGTATCGTATGCTTAGATGCACCTGCAGCAAGTTCACTACCTAGCATGTATAGTCTTATTAGCTGTACATAGATTCACCTACCACGATTCATTAAGCTCGACTGATGAGAATATTTAGCGGAGGACCGTTATTCTTCTTTTGAACTCAGCTTCAGCGACATGAGGGACAGTACCAATACAAGTCGGCGATTCCTCCTCCTTTTCCATAGATCGACCAATGGAATACCATACTCAGAAAATGAGAAATGGTTCTGGAGACGTGGGATATGGGCATCTGCTTTTCTGTCTGTTCTCGGCACTATCGCAGCTTTGTCAGTACTTTCATACATTTGGTTTTCCTTGTAATGATATTGAAAGTTTGAACTGACCCAACCTGTCTTAGTATTTGGCTTATTTTACTCATAACTCTTCCCCGCCATCATGCACCCGGTACACCACCCAGTGGGATCAACTCTTTGATCAAACAGTGGCGGAAACCCAGGGATTCAGTCACCCTTCTTTCGCCGTGGAGTTCAGATTTTACCAAAGATATCACACCGATATCATGCCATTCTCATAATGACTACCGGCAATTAGTTCCTCTTTTCGAAGCTCTCGCAGCTGGGTGTACAGGAGTAGAAGCAGATATATGGATCCACGATAAAGCTGGCAGCAAAAATTTGTTGGTCGGACATTCTTCACGATCACACAACGATGATCGCACGCTCCAGAGTTTATACATCGAACCCCTGGTCACAATCCTTGAGAATCGGAACAATATTTCCGCTGCGTCAAGAGGATCCAACAATTCCAACGGCGTATTCCAGTCGAGTTCTAACACGACCTTGACTTTGCTTCTTGACTTCAAGTCCGATGGAGCTAAACTGTGGCCGTTGGCAAATCAGGAACTCGAAGTTCTTCGTTCAAAGGGCTGGCTTACCAGCTGGAGTAACTCGACTGGCGATATCAATTGGCGCCCAATAATTATCGTCGCTACAGGAAATGCTCCCTATGACCTTTTGGTCTCAAATACCACCTACCGCGATGTCTTCTATGACGCCCCGTTAGACGACATCTCAAATCCTAAATATGATAGCTCAAATTCGTATTATGCTAGCGTTTCCATGGGCACTCTTGGCAAAATATGGTTCTGGAAGTTCAGTTCAGTACAACTGAACAAAATCAAAACTCAGACTGCTTTGGCAAATGAGAAAGGTCTCAAATCAAGGTATTGGAATACTCCGGCTTGGCCAGTGAGTTTCAAAGAATACATCTCGGGGATTCTGGTCGAAAATGGAGTTGGGATGCTGAATGTAGATGAGTTTTCATCAACGCTATTCTATCTCTTAGTCACTAGATTTGGTCAGAATAGACTTTCATGGTAGCTTACTTGCTATTCGAAATATCGGAGGAAGTCTTTGTGCTTCATCTCGCTGAAGGTAAGGCACGAACCCACGATGGGTTCGACTCTGGGAATTGGAGATACGCTGCAAGGTGTGCTATTAGAACCAACCATGCTTTGACATTCTTTTGAGAATCGAAAAACGGTTCACACCGAACAGAAAATGTTCTCCAAGAAATTAAGGAGGTGGTGACGCGTAAGAGCAAACGCGCGGGAGAATGAGGAAGCCGGCAAATCACGTGATGTGACTGGTCTGGGCGTGGTGTGGCTGAGATACAAAGAATGTCCCACAAGTTTCTTACTCCCTCGACACTGGACGTTCATTCCCCAGATCTACTTCCATTGATTAAAAGTCTCGATTAGTGATGAATATGTATATGACTCCATACCAGTGGCAGTCTTTCTCATGTACTCAGCAGTTCTGATGTGAAATTCAAGTCCCCGTATTGTCTGAGGAATCTCGCGGGTATCTTGCTTGTCTTGAACAGTGTAAGCTCGACCGAATGGAAAGAGGTTTCTTCAATAATGATGGCGACCCTCATTATACCACGGAGGATATCTTTCACGAAAACAAAAACGGGACGCATAAGCAGCCCAAGGATGAAGACATTTGTTCGCCATATGTGGTGTTACATCTTCAAGGTTGCTTGATAGCCTGAATGCTTATTCCTATGCAAGCGTAGCTTGATATACTCCGCCATCCCAATTACCCCGCATCGCCTCGGGACCTGCAGCAGCTTTGCAGTTCTTAACATACGTCGGTACATACCAACCCGAACATCTATTTAGCAGAAGATATTTTCCGTATTTCTGCTTGCTATAGTAAGTCTTTGGTTGGTATTGATCAAACTAGCCCTCGACTTTCCGTGCATCTTGACTTTTTAGTATGTATGCAAAATTGTTGATGTGCATCGGATATCAGTAAGTATAGCTCTGCCGCAGAAGACATACTTATAACATACCTTAATGAGTCTATTGTTTCGTTTGTGAAGAAAACAGCTCTGCTATTCTCATTTAGTTTTCACAACTACCATTGGTAGAACGTTGGTTTGCAATGTTGTTGCTTTCTCATTGCATTCTGCTCCTTTCGACGACAATAGCCTTGTGCTCACCAGTGGAAAGTAAAAGAAATAGTTCATCTCTTATTGTTGATCTTGGATATAGTGTTTATCAAGGGTACTATAATGCTACATCAAGACTTAACATATTCAAAGGGTATGTGGCACATTGCAATCAGTCTTACCCACATTAAAAGCAGGAATCTCACACAAATAGAATTCGATATGCGGCACCTCCCTTGGGAGCACTTCGCTGGCAGAAGCCCCAATCTCCAGCTGAAGCCAGGGCTTCAACGATACAGGCAACGGCTTATCCGCCTCATTGCCCCCAGAGTAACGATGCGCCCATGTGAGTCTTCACAATATCTACCTCAACTATCCTGGATTTACTAACAATCCAAGGCCCGCAAATTACAACTTCACGAGATCAGGTCTTGGAAATGAAGACTGCTTGTTCTTAAGCGTATGGGCCTCACCAAATGCGACAAATCTCCCAGTTATGATCTGGATCCGTAGGTTACAGCTCTTTTCCCCATGTCTTCCATTCTAGATTGCACAAGTTGACGCCCAACAGATGGTGGAGGTTACGGCACTGGCTCTGGTAATAACGATTTCTCAGAATTAGCCATTACCAACTCCAATGCATTCATCATAGTAGCCATTCAATATCGCCTTGGCGCTTTTGGTTTCCTCTCTTCAGCCGACCTCGTTACCTCCGGCGGTGTTCCCAATGCCGGTCTCTACGACATGAACTTTTCATTCCAATGGGTTCAATCCCACATTTCAAAATTCGGGGGCGATCCTTCTCGAGTTACTATTGCAGGAGAATCAGCGGGAGGTGGCGCTGTGATGTTGCAAATCATGGCTTATGGAGGGACGTTGGGAACGACTTTGTTTAGTAATGGGATTGTAGCAAGTCCGTACTTACCGATGCAGTATGATTATGATGGCTTGAAACCAGAGGGGAGTTATGGGGGAATTACGGAGGCGGTGGGGTGTGGGAAGAGTAATGGGAGTGCATTTGATTGTTTGGTAGCGACGGACACGCTTACATTGCAGAATGCTAGTGCGTATATTTCTGCAAATGGTAACTATGGCCAATGGGCTTTCCTGCCCGTCACGGATGGGGAATTCTTGGTCAAAAGACCATCAGAGCAGTTGTTAGCTGGTGAGGTTAATGGAGTGAGAATTCTGTCTGGTGTACATAGTCCCTCCAACCAAATTCTACATATAAGCTAGGCAGCTAACAACTCCCAGAACAACGCCAACGAAGCTCCAGGCTTTGTCCCACAACACATAAACACAACCACTGCCTTTAACACCTTCACACAATCCCTCTTCCCGCTGATGTCCAATTCTACTCTCAACCACCTCCACCAAGTCTACTCCATCCCTCCCACAACCCCTGGCACCCTCTTCGCGACAGCCGGTAATAGCGGTCCTACAGCCCTTGACCAATCCGTCTTCGCCATTGGCCAACAACAACGTGCCAATAATCTGTACGCCGAGACAACTTTCGTCTGTCCTTCTTACTGGATAGCTTCTGCCTTTTCTCAAAGCTGGAAGTATGAATATAGTGTCCCACCAGCACAGCATGGATGTGACTTAGATGCCTACTATGCTGTCAATCGTACATATCTCGGTTACGGAACCCTATCACCAGGATTTCGCACCGCAGTTCAGAAAATCTGGGGAAGATTTATCGTTTATGATGATCCTACATTACCTGCGGATGTCATCGTATCAATTACCAACCGCGGAAATGGTACACACACGGGAGATGATATATCGGCAGCTGGAACGGGAATATGGCCGCAGTGGTCCACAGACAGATACTCGCATGAGAAGTATAAGATGTTGAAGCTAAATATGACGGGAGGAGAAGAAACCAAAGTTCTTTGGACGAGTGCGGATGGAGGTGTTAGTTTTGATGTATCGGAAAATACGGGATTGAGAGTGAGGGCTGATTTGGAAATTGTGGATGCTTGGGGTTGGGAGGGGGGAAGGGGTGCAAGATGTGAGTTTTGGGTGGAGATTGGAAGGGAGGTGCCGGAGTAGGGGGTGGAGGCACTGGAGGGAGAGGCGATAGTAGGAGTAGTATATAATGAGGTAGGATACTAAAGTGCTTAGATTGAATATGCAGTTCTTGTAGTTTTTGCATGGATGCATAGATGCTTGAATGCAAATTTGTTACTTTCCCAATTCCTTCCCTTGATGCAATTCTCTTCTTCAAACCTACTAGGTACCTTTCTTCCGTATGCCTGTACATATACTTACAGAGGTCAAAAGCGATGAGAGTCTTGAGGTAAAGAGTAAGAAAGCAAAGCTGGACAATCAATTTATCAAGATAGATGAATTACTGCACTTGACTTCAAGTAGTGAGGGAGGGGATATCGTTTGTTAATTGTGATTCATGGAACTTTGAACCACATCGTCGCAGTATCTTTGATACTGTCTTGAATATCCAATGTATAAGAATCTTACAGATATCTCAAAAGACTATTATCTGGCATTCCTCAACGATATTCTCGTTCATTTTCATTTTCATTTTCATTTCAATCTCCATTTCAATCTCCATTCCACAACGAAAGCAACATCATGCCAGTGATTCGAGTAGAGAAAACGTACTGCCAGTGTATAACCTTACATTCATATTATCCCATCCCATCTTAAATACTAGTAAAAAATATCCAACATCTCTAACAATTTAATTCGTTATAAACATTAATTATAAAGCGGGTCTACTAAGATACCTACCAAAACCGAATACGAATTTGAAGCTATTCCCAAGATTGTCATATCTACCTAATCCCTGTCAATTAAAATAACAATAGCGTCATCGACTTTCATCTTTCATCTTATATACCGAGCTTCTCACCCCAACCCCACCATTCAATTTAGTACTGCACCCATATAAACAAATTATAGACTTTATATTGTCTCTTCTTCCTTTGTTTTATAAGAATAGGAATTTCTTATTTCTGTTATAACCTTACATACAGTACAGCTTCTAAGTATTATCTTATTGTCTCGAAATCAAAGCTCGAATACGAAGCTCAACCACGAAAGCAGATAGAATAGCAAGCAAAGCAAGCAAATCAACCAAAGATGCCAAATTCAGTAGAAGATCAAACGGCGGCCCCCTCAATCGAAGTCAAGAATCTTACATATAAATTCCCGGATTCGACTTTGGGTCTGACGGATATTTCACTTAGTCTGCCGCCTAGTTCTCGCACTTTGTATGTTCTGCTATTTTCCCTCTGTTTGAGTGTGTGGCAGATAGGATAGCCATCTCCCACCCACCCCCTTCACTCATACCTCTCACCCCTCACCTACACAATCACCCCACCTCTACCAAATAACTAACCTCCTCTTCTCCCCCCAGAATAATCGGTGCCAACGGTGCCGGCAAAACCACACTTCTCCGACTCCTCTCCGGCAAACGACTCGCCCCCACCTCCACAATCTCAATTTCTGGTCTTGACCCCTTCAAAGACTCTCTCGTCGGCGTCACCTACCTCGGACTCGAATGGGTACTCAACCCCATTGTACGAACCGACATAGGTGTGCGAGAACTACTTGCTTCTGTTGGTGGCGACTACTATCCACTGCGACGCGACGAGCTTGTTATTGTTCTCGACATTGATTTAGAGTGGCGCATGCACCAGGTATCTGACGGAGAGCGTCGACGCGTACAGCTTGCTATGGGATTGATACGTCCGTGGCGCATACTGCTGTTGGATGAAATTACAGTGGATTTGGATCTGCTAAGTCGAAAAAGGTTTTTGGATTTTCTGAAGGAGGAGACGGTTAAGAGGAAGTGCACGGTGGTTTATGCGACGCATATTTTGGATAATCTGGCGGGGTGGCCGACGGATTTGGTGCATATGAGTATGGGGAAGGTGAAGGAGTGGGGAGGGATAGAGAAGTTTGAGGGGGAGATGGGTGGGGATGAGAGTGGGAATTCTAGGTTGGGAGAACTGGTTTTGAGGTGGTTGGCGGAGGATTTGAAGGAGAGGGGTCCGAGGAATAAGGCGGTTAATGCGGGGACTAGTTATTTGGTGGGTGGAGTAGGGGGGTATGGGAGTGAGAAGAGGATTTAGAGGAGAGGAGGGAGTGGGTGGTTATACATGGGTGCATAGATGGTTTTTGAAGTATTGGTATTATGGAACGCCTTAACGCATACATATACACATGGGGCAACACGGCGCAACACTCAACATGAGCTAGGAGAGAGAGCAGATCTCACGGATGCTTCATTCATACTTTCATACTTTCATTTTTCAACGGTCCATTGTCCGATTTTATCTAGACTGGCGTACTTTAACATACGATAGATAGAGTATTCAACATAGAGAATAAATCCTCAGGGAACTATCTTCACTCGCAATTGCTAGTTCCATGATCGTGTTTGTGTTCTCCGATGATGTGTTTTTGGCGGTGTTTTTGGAGGTTGGTTTCCATGCTAGTTGGGTGATGGCTTTGGAGGGGTAGTGGTTTTTGCTGGGTGGGTTTGGGGGTTAGTTCTGGGTTTGCTTTGTAAAAAGGGAAAGTGAAATGAAATGAAATAAGATGATATGATTAAATATGAAATGGAATGGTATGGAAAGGAATGAAATGAAGAAGGTAGGTAGGTAGGTAGACACAGAGCAATAAAAACAAACAAAAAAAATAAAAAATAACATACCCAATATCCAACAACACCTCATCCACAGCAATATCCCCCTCACCACTAACAGTAACGCGATAAATTCTAAAAACCCCAGCTTCAGTTCCAACCGCCAAATACATATCATCCCCAATAAACGTATCAAGGAAATCAATGGCTGTTACGGGAGATAACTCGGGGATCGAGATGCTGTTTGTGAATTTTTGGGTTGAGGGGGAGAGGACCCAGATCTTAACTTGTTTGTCGCGGCCGGCGGTGGCGAATATTGTTGGGGTTGGGGATGACGTTGATGAGGATGGTGGGGATGACGGTAAAGAAGGACCCCACGCCGCATCAAGAATCATCCTCGCATGACCCTTCAAATTCGATTCCTTCAGCTTATACTCAAGCCCACTAGAACCAGAAACCTCAAGCCCATCAACAACCCCATCAACAACACGTTCAAAAACCGCCCATTGACGATCGCGACCCACCGACAATAAAAATCGATCATCACGCGAAAATCGCAACCGAGCGACCGTTAGCGAGTGAGCAGTAAGAGGCGGCTTAATTTCATGCCATTCACCTGTTTCAAAAAGTCGAATGACGGCGTGGTCGATGGAACTGGCTTTGCAGGCAGTAGCTACGAGGGAGCCGTTGTGCGAAGTGGCTAGGGCGGATATTTCGTAGCCGTGGCCGTAGAGTTTTTCCGTTTCGGGCCAGAGTGTGTGCCGGGAGAGTTGGTCTTCGAGGGGTGGGTGGGAAAAATCGAGGGGGGTCTTTTGTGCGGCATTATGGGAGTCATCGTGGGCTGTTGGTGCGACGTCGGACGGGAAGGTGGCTTCGATGGCTTTGTTGGATAGTCCTAATACGGGCATATTTGCCGCATCGGGCATGTGAGTGACATTATCACTGCCAATTCCACATAATTGGTGGAGCAATGTTGCGACTGCTCTGGGCTCATTGAATACGCGTAGTAATTTCTCATCTGCTCCGGATACGAATTGCGATTCCCCGAGCGAATCGATGCAATTTAAATCATAGCCGTGAATCTGAGGTCGAGCCATCTCATGCCAACTCGACTTCCCATCTCTCTTCCACTGCGTGTGTAACCTCGTTGTTTGATCCGTGCTTGTCGATAATAAATAGCTTCCATCTTTCGACCAGGCGATTCCCATGACGGGTTTCACGTGCCCGGTGATAGCAGTGCTTTGGGCCCAGCGGTCGGATGCGGAATCGTGGTTCCAGAGACGCCAACTGCCGGTTCGTCCGAGACATACGACGGTTGAGCCGCTGGGCGACCAGAGACCGGACCAGAAACCTCCGGTGCTGCCTGTAGCGGTGGTGGATCCTTTCTCCGCGCTAATTTCTCCGAGTCGTGCCACGGATACCCAGACACCAGTGGAAGAATCAGGTTCCCAGATGGCGAGGGAATTGTCGGCCGAGGCCGAGAGGAGTTGTGGTTTGGAGTTAGAGGTTGTGTTAGGGGAGAGCCAGCGCGTGCTGTAGATCCAATCTTCGTGTCCGAGGAGCAAAGCTTCGAATGTGGCGGAGAAATCTAAGGCTTGGGCTTGGAAACGATGGGCTTTGTTCGATAGAGATTTTCCTGGCATGAATGCTCCGAATGTTGGATCGGCTCCTGTGGCTGCGGCTGGTAATTCTTTGCCTTGATGAATTCTCCATAGTCGGATGTATTTATCCTGACTAGCTGATGCGAGAAGTAAATCACTCGTTGGGCTATCGCTCTCCTTTGTGAATTCTAATGATCGGATCCATCCTTCGTGTCCGGATAATGTAGCCTTGTATTTGAATTCCGATCCCGCTTGAGCATCCAGCACGTGAAGCTGAATGATATCTTTTGTTCCCGCGACAGCAAGAACGAGAGAATCCGAAGCGCCAGTCAAAGGACTCAAGGCCAATGCTAGCGGAAATAATCGCGGAGTAATCGTGATAGATTGCTGCAAACTTGCAACATTCTCATCATCAAGTTTCCAGATCTTAACAATGGCATCTGCCGAGCCGGAAGCAAAGATTTTGAAGGCTGCTGTAACGGCTATGCAGTTGATCGTATTCTGATGATCGGTGATGGTTTGAATACAAGTATAGCTCTGTGAAACTTCATCCCGTTTCCAAATCCTCACCGTTTTATCAACAGATCCACTGAGTATAAAACCATGTGATTTGGGGATGAATTTCACGACATTAACGGTATCCGTATGACCACTGAGAAGTTCAAAGACTCCTCTGGAAGTTTCATTCTAAATAGACATTAGCATCTTATCCGATAATCCATTGCAGCACCCGAGCCATTTATTCTCATGGCTCAGCGCTTCATCGTCGAGATCTTAAAAACTTACTCCAGGATACCATAATGCAATATTTCTATCGGCTCCATATGCTAGGAGACCCGACTCGTCCCAATCGGCAGTAGAAGGGTGTCTATTGGCACCTGCCGCGAGGTACTCTGGGACAATTTTATTCATATTGGTTTGATTCATCAAAGTGCGTACGAGGGAAATGATTTTTATTGCAAAAGTAATCGGAGTATATCCAGATACGACGTCAGAGGGATTAAAAGTGGTAAGTTCGTGGTTATTTGAGTTGTTGCTGTGCTTGAGATATTTGATGTTGTCGTGAAAATTTATATCCACTCATTTTTACAAGAACTTTTAGTTAGAGTTATATCACAGCAGCGAGCTTTGAAAATTGATCAAAAATGTAATTCTTGACGAAACTCTTCTATATAGACATGAAAAGCAGAACTGGATTAATTGGTAATTTAATGAGTAGTTTATCACAGAATATTGGACATATTAACTATTCATTGATCGCAAAATCAATTCACACAAAGAATAAACACCACTGTCGTCTGAAGTACAAGTGGAAAATAAGCGAGGCTGTGGGCACAGCATAATTTCTCTTACTAACCCATCCCCAAATCCATCCCCATACTATTGTACCACCACAATTTCAAACTTCAAAAATCAACCATCCACCAACATGTCTACAGAAACCCTCAAAATAATCGTCGAATTCACGTAAGTCTTCTCCTCCCCCCCCCCAAGCCATCTAAAAACAACCCATTAACAACTCCCCAACAGTGGCGGTCTCGAAATGTTATTTTCCGACCAACGAAACCACAAATTGGAGATCCCCAAAACAGATTCCAAGGGCGATCATGTTACAGTGGGCTGGTTGGTAAATTATCTCTGCGATGAAATCATGCAAGATTCAAGAAAAGACATGTTTGTTCTGGACGATCACGTGTAAGCCACGCCGAGTTTTTTCTCATCTCCTCATGTCTCTGCCTATGGTTCCCTGTGGTTCACTAGTTGTTGCTCCATGTTTCCAAGCATATTTTTGGGGATTTTCGTCATCTATCATCTATGCTATACCGGTACCCCTAAAGATCGCCCCTTCCCCTCCCCCTTCTCACTGTTCATCTGTCACATCTGAGTCTGATTGCTTTGCTTGCCTGCACCGGCTCATCAAGCATCCCATCCCCCGTATGCATACTAATGCTCCTGGAAACATATAGGCGTCCAGGAATCCTAGTCCTGATCAACGATGCGGATTGGGAGCTGGAAGGCGAAACCTCGTACGCATTACAGCCCAATGATAATATTTTGTTCGTGTCGACGCTTCATGGGGGCTGATGATTGACCTGATGGATACCGGGTTATGGGGCTGCTCTTCCAAGTTCCTCCACGCGTTAATCTATCGTTTTTGGGGAATGTGATGGGATTATTGGGGATGCTGGAATATACATGCATGCATGGGAAATGGACCCCTATTATTAATGCTTGTTGCTTGATGTTCCGCTGAATATGCACTGCAACATCGAGTTTTCATCTGGGTCATAACTATACCTACATTAGTCACTTATATCAGACTTCATCAGATTGATCTCCCGATATATCACACTATACTACCTACCGCCTAATTTGATCCGAGGATAATCAACATGTCTCGGGACACCAAATATAATCATCGGGCCGCAATATTTGGATGAATGGGATGAGTTGAAGTTCCCTCTGTTTCTTCCCCTTCCCATCCTTCCCCATCCCTTCCCTTCCCTTCCGTGTTTTCCTTCCGTAGGTACATTCCGAGTCCTGTCCGAAATGGATCGACATACCAGTATATATATCCATATCCATCATTTTCGAGTCCAGTCCGGTAATCCAGTCCAGTCTAATCCATGCAATATCCCATCCCATCCATCACATCTTAGGTTACCAACTTACCATCCGCTCCATTAATCCCTGATATCAATACTCGAGTATGTATCCGTAAAACCGTAGCTATATCATGCACCTAACAAACAAACAAACCATACCTTCCACATTTCCCCACAAAGATCGAGGTAGGGTATAGTATGCCGGTATTAGACAGGCAGGAAATACATACTAGTAGATAGGAGTTCGGGAGATACAAGTAATTTGGTAAGCCGAGTAAACAGAAATTAATACTATACCTAGTAAATACAACATTCTAAATCCATATCCCTTGCATATCTACCAATACCCAAACAACACTGTGGAAAACGGGGGGTGGATTCTAGCCTTCATACTATAGACTCGGTAATTAAGACTACAATTCATATGCCGCTGTCACTGTTACCCCAACCACAGTCTAATCTACCGTGCCGTACTCTGAGTATACTAGTTAGTAATAGAGAAGAGGAAAGATAACTTAACTTAACTAACTTGTTCAACTCTCTGTCTGGCAGTGTCTGCTGTAATGATATGATTTACAACTCCTTCCTATATTTCATATACCGGTACTCTCTATATTGATAAAAAAAACCTGGACTGAAAATTCTGAATTGGAAGCATTTCAGCTTTAAGGCACGACCTTCGAAAAATGCTAGGGTAGGGTAGGGTATGATTTCTGTTTCTCAGAAACAATTGGCAAGCTGGCTAGCTAGCTGGCAGGCAGGCAGGCAGGCGAAACTAAACGAAACGAAACGACGTAAGGGATACAATACAATATCGGTTGTAAAATAGATCGACAAGTGTAATCATGACTACATGTGATTTTTCTGTGCCAGCTGTACTTGTAAGTGATGATGAATTAATGAATTACCCCTCTATTCGAGCGAGTTCTTTTGGATTGTAATTGTAATTGTTGGATGAGTGATGGATAGATGGATGGATGGATGAATATCAATTTTTGGATTTTTGGATTTTCGAATTTTCGGTAAGGTTATATGGATTATGGATTATGAATTATTTGAGTAGGTAGGATTTGGAGGGTTAGAAATATTTAGATAGGATAGGTAGATAGACAAATAGATATTAGATAGACTATTTTATTTCTCTGTTTACTTCTCTTCCCTGTCTACTGAGTACCCATCTTAATCTTTTTGATTCCTTCCTAAACTAAACCACTGTATTCATTGATATCATACTCCTCCTTCTCCTTTTCAATAACATAGGTACCGTACCATACCATACTAGACCCCACCTCCCACTCCCAATCCCACTCCTATCCATCTATCTATTCATCTATTCATCCATTCATCTATTCATCTATTACTCACCAGCTCATCTATCAAACCCATCAAACCCATCAAGACACCTCCAAAAACATCTCCAAAACAATGATAATCATGATAATAATAGTGATATAATAATAATAATATAAGTAATAGCAATAACAATACCAGTAAACTTTTATCGCATCAAACAATATTGCCTCTTACCTCCTCCAACACCCCTCCTCCATCCAATCCACTCATTCACCCTAAGAAATACAAGACCTCCACATCCATACCCAACATAATAATGAAAACATAAAGAGATATCCACCACTCCACTTCACTCCACTGAGTCACTCCATTCCAATGACTGACTGACTGGCTAACTGACTGACTGTTCCAGTAGAAGTAGCAAGCAATAAATGAGAAAGAAATATGTACCGTATGTACCGCCATAGCCTCCCCATCAACATCGATATCCATTCCCCTAACATAAATATATAAAAAATACAATTCTCTTTTTCTCTTCCTTTTTCTCTTTCCGTTTTGTTCTGGTTGTGTTGATATTTGTTGTTGTTAATGACGATGATGACAACGAGGAAAGTAAAAACAATAACAATAACAAAGCTGTCGTTTCTCCATTTCCATTTCCATTTTCATGTCCATTTTCGTATAACCGTCTTGTCTTGTCGTCTCCTGATTCTCATCGCGGCATCTCTCGTAACTTTGTACGTACATGTGTGCGTATGTCATATCATATGTAGGTATGCTTTCATCTTCATCCGACAACTAATACAAGCGATCTCTAAACACCAACCCACGGTTTGCATTCCAATTCACATTTCCATTTCCATTCACACTCCCATTCTCACTCGTACTCGAACAACTAGACGACGTCCCCATCTCCATCCCCATCCCCATCCCATCCGTCGACACCGAGCAAAAATTCCCATCTACACTCACTCCCCCACTCATCACACCACTCATACCCATTACCTCACTCCTCAAACTCAAACGGTCATCTGAGTCATACATCCCATGACAATTGCGCAAGCCGCTCTCAACATAGCGACTCGCACTAGACCCCCTACTCGCAAGACGATTCTTGCAAGAGCGACTTGAGGGACTGATGTTTCGATCCTTGCCGCGGCCTTTGATACCTTTATTGCTATTCTTGTAAAGAGTGAAGAAGTAAGACCAGAATTCCTTGTTGGCTTCGAGGTCTATTTCGCCGCTTTGGAGTTTGGAGACGAGGGTTTCGATGGTTTCTTTGTGGAATTTGTTGTGGTGGGCCTAGAGTGAGAAAGGTTAGAGGTTACTCTTGCTTGGAGAGTGGGTTGATTGATGTGACATGGATGATGAAGGTAAGGATAGTGGAATTTGAGAATATGGTAACGTACTTTGAGGTTACCGCGTTGTGTGAAGCTTTTGTGGCAATTGTCGATTTTACACGGATAAGGTTTGATACCTGTGTGAACGATTTTGTGGGCACTCAAGTTACTGCGTTGACCGAAACGTTTTTTGCATATTTCGCATTGGAAGCGTCGTTCGCCAGTGTGACGTTGCTCGTGCGTCTAAAAAGGTTAGCCTGGAACTTGCCCGTGTGTGGCAGAGGTTGAAGGGCAAGAATTTTTTTACCTTCAGGTTGCCAGGTTGGGAGAAGTATAGACCGCAGGAGGGATGTTCACACGGCTGGATAGATTCCATTAGTTCATGAAAACATGGAATAGTGTTGTTAGAGTTGCTTACATATGGTTTGTCGCCGGTATGTTTGCGAAAATGAATAACCAGTTGGGATCTCTGTGCAGAACTCGACGTGCAGTTTGGAAAGGTGCATCGATAGATATTCTTGGCAGTCTTCGAGCGTCTTGATTTATCCTGAGCCTTACCAGATGTGAGCATGTGCTTGTCTTCTTCGTCATGTGCAAAGAAACTTTGATTCATGGAATCCTGAATATCAGAGGGTGACTGTGATTGTGAAGTTTTTGTTATGTCTTGAATGACCTTCATGAGTCTATCTACTGCTGTGCTTCCGATGTGTGCTTCATCAGAACCAGTCGGAGGAAGAGGAGTTATGGTTTTGCTGGGCGGTGGCGTTGTTTGACTTTGGGGTGGTAACTGGCGATTGGCAGGTGTTGTCCATAACGGTTCGGGCTTGATGGGAGGACTTTGATGGTGGGGAGTGCTTTCAATGAATCCTTGGTGATTGCTTCCGTTATAATGTGCCTCTCTTTGAGAATGAGAAAAAGATTGCATCATGCGAGGAAAAGGTCGTGGCTGAATGTAATTGGCCCCATAAGTTGCGGTTGAGCTTCCATCGGTGTAAGATGTGAAACTATATGGATTCTGTGGAATTTTCTGATGTCCATTCATCATGTTGAAAGGGTTTCCACCGAAAGAGTTCATTGGCATGATAGGAGGAGCAACGATTGATCTTCCTAGACTTGCTGTAGTCGTTTGAGGATTATGAGAGTGGACCATGCCGGACATATCCACATAGAAGGGACTTTGACACTCCTCATTCCAACGCCAGGCAGTGCCCGGTGTATGTGTTACGGTTGCCAGTTTGCCGGTTTTGTCTTGCTAAATGCAAGACTTGAGAATGATGAAAGTGAAAAGGTTGAAGCGAAGTTGATTTTTTGCTTGGCAAATTGAAGAACTAAGAGGGTAATATGAAGATATAAATCAAATATGCACCGAAACTAATCGAAAGGGTTGAAGTAGTTGAGCAAGTGTATGTGTTAAGAATAAAATATGTTCAGTAGTTGTAATGTGTGCAAAGTAGTATTTGTGATGTTCTGAAAATGTGAGACGCTTTGTGATGATCTGGGATGAGTCTTTTCAAACCTTTAATAGACGGGAGGGAGACTGGTTCATATACACTCTTCTCCATTGATGGTAGAAACTGCCGGTGGGTCAGTTCGTTCAGAGCGATACTATACCAATAACGTGCCCTTAACGGGGGAGGCAAGATGGTGAAACTAAAACAGACAAGGCTGGCAAGGCACTAGTATCCTCACACTGAATACTTTCCATACAAGAGAGATCCCAAAGGGGTGAATGACAGTATTTACTACTGGCAGGGATCAGTACTAGTCCAGCTCAAGGACTGCAATTTCGAAGACATTGTAGATAGAATGATAGCCAATCGGAAGCTAAGATGGCCAAGCTCCAAGGAGCTCTAGCACCCGTGCAGCACATCAAGTTTGGAGGCAGCACTGGCTACCTTGCGAAACCTGCTGGATGTGGCGTTGCGGCTTTTAAAAGGGACCTACAGTATCTCTCGAAAGAGGTCAAAGAGGTGATGGTCCAAGGATCTTGCGAGGCACCGAGCAAGATCTACGAAAGGGGACATGATTATGTGAAGACACAAAAACTGGGATTAGATCCATAGTATATGCGGGAAGGATAAGGCCTGGAGAGATCTTGTGCGGAGTGAATCTGACTTTACTCAAAGTAGCTTAATGAACCTATTTTTTTTCCGGCTACACCCTGATGTATGCATCGGACGCTATCACTATCACTGGTTCACATTTGGATCTTGGTAATATCAGCCTAGAAGCCAGATCGGCTCAGGTTATCGGATCGGTATGTATAGAATAACTTTATTGCCGGAGCAAGTAGATTTTCCTGCGCACTACGCAATCGGCAAAGCATAAGTGTTTGTAAATGTGAAATACAGACATATCAGATTGTGATAGAAATAAGTGGTAAATTAGCGGAGTTCGGAAAGCTCCCGTGAGCAGAGTTTGGATCCATGCATGTAAGGTGACTTAAATTGAGGTTAGTGGAGCAAACATTGGCAAACAATTCAAATGAATTTGTTGATTGCAAGAAAGTACAGAGAAGAGGGGCATTATTTTTCAAAACAGCCTCATGTAGTACTGTAGAACAAACTGTACAACATGACCTTACACCCATCTAGACGGTAAATTCTTTTCGCTGGGTCCGAGAAAAGTTGAAAGGTGCTATGGAAGGAAAGTAACGAACCAATAAGATATGCAATATTAAGCCGGGGGCTGGCGGCTTGATCCCGTGGAAATGGTAACTGTAATGATAATGGTATGTCATATTTATCTTGAATGGTTGTCCGGATAATTGCATTTGATGAACCCTTAACGATTAGATCTAAACCCTGAAACCCACGCAAGGCGCTGCTTCCGAACCAAAATAGTGACAACAATCTTTTTCAAGTCTAAAGATATTGTTGAAGAATTGTTATGCAAACAAGAGAAAGTTGCGCCATAGAACTTATGGCAAGTACTCGTATAAAGATAATGGTATAAATACAATATCAATAAAAGTCTAGAAACAAGCTTGGTGGATGTGAGTATTTGTTCCAGTTCATGTATCTCAGTCAGTCTTGGACCAGTCAAGTCAATCTTGGGTGTGCGCATTGACATTAATAATATACACCAATACTGACTCTCATATGAGAACCGAAAGATTCGTGAGACGCCAACTCTGTCTGAGATTGGCTGTGGATGCTAGGTGGATCTCATCCAAGATCTCTGTTGCCGGGGGCTTGAAATCTGTACCATCATGAAAATTCTCCGTACTACAAGCAAGTGACGTTCTCACGATGCTGCTCATCCGATGAACCCATGACAGAGTTTACCATATCCCCTGAGCCGCCTGCCCTAATAAGGCCCGGTACTTTGGTTGGCGGTCGATCCTCTTGTATCTAGCCCAATAAGTCCATCGTTGCGAGAATAATGGAGAAGCTTCTCAAAAGTGCGAGTGTGAGTGTGAACATGATATCTGTGAAGTAACCTGAGACTAAAGGAATGAAATAGATGAATTGCAGCTGGGTGAGATCCACAAATAAACGTTCGAGATCTGGTTAGAGTACTCTGCTAGGGGTTTAAAATCAAGTATTATACCTTGTTTGTTACTCTCACGGCTGGCTGCATAATCCTCATCAATCTTTGACGTTACACTGTAGAGGGAGGTATAAGTATCAAAGAGTACTTGTAGACTTGTAGATAGAAGTATTGAACCTAGTGAGGATATCGAGCATAACAAAGATGGGGGGGTCTTTGGATCAATGGTTTATGAAGTCAAGATGAAGGTCAAAGTGTCAAAGTTGTCAAAAGTGTCAGAATTGACAAAGCTGTCAAAAGAAGGTTTAAATACAGATATTCGTAAAAATTACTACATTCGGTTAGAAAAGAAGCGCGTAAGAAAATAAAAAATTCCCCACTGATTTGAATAAGGAATGCAAACGTAAACGCGACGAAACGCGTATCCTTTCCCTATTCCTTTTTTACCTTTCTTTCCTTCCCTTCCCTCCCTTCCCTTCCCTTCCCTTCCCTTCCCTTCCCTTCCCTTCCCCACAACTAATTCAATGTCAATACTCATTCGTATATTCATTATCAAAACTCATAATTCTCTATTATCATTAAATGATTATACCAAAAGGAGCATAACAATATCATTAAGGCCGTCAATCCGTCAATCTATCAATCTATCAATCTATCAATCTATCAATCCGGCAACCTATCACATTGTATCAATCAATTCCTATAGTATTGGTGCTGTACTCGGATATCTGCTCTTATTATCACTCTCTAAAGTTACCCCCCCCCATAGTTATCCCACTTTCTACCTACTACTCTTTACTACTCTCACCCACACTCACTACCTACCCTTACCTACTTTGGAGGAGCTCCAAAATCTCTCCTCCGATATCAATCATCTCTAAACTTTTGCACAGACTCCCGAATTCTCCATTTGGTGCCGAATTCAAACCGGAAGTATATGGTTGTCACACATATATTGACTACTTGAGTCCCCTGGTCTATGGGGCTTTCGCACAGACATCCCCCCTCACTTGACCACTCAACATCAAGTTGTATCATCGTGTGAATTGATTCATATCCTCTCTTCGACATTTCAAAGGTCTGTGCGGAGGCATATTCCACGGATAGAAGTTCTACAGCCTACAAACCATCTGCTTGCGAACCCATGCAATTATCACATCACCGCCATTCACCATTTGCTGTTCACTGTCCAACAATGATTACGATTCATCTCACATGCTCAACCTTGTGTAATCAACTTCCCTTCTCTTGCCGTGGTACACGAACCCTAAACACCAGATCTCATCGTATAGCAAGTTTGCTGGATGGAAGTTTCTGTAGCGGGATACTGATAAGTTCGAAGAAATGCTCGAGAACTCGAGATCGCCAAATGTTCAAAAAGCAAGTGCAAGTGGCCAATACGCCACCTTTTGCCACACAAGAATGGATTTGTGTCAACGATATAGACAAAGGCTGAGGCGGGTCAAACACGAGTTTACAAAGCAGTGCGAATTTTCTCCAATCTTGTTCTGAGTTACTGGCTGGCTATCTCATGGATAATGAGACAGGGGGTAGTCTCCATCAAAAAGTTCATGGGTCGTGAGGTTACACTGGGTTCACTGAGCGCTAGGTTGCTTTGGATCATCCGTAAGCACTGTATTTCTCAGTTCTTACTCTTTGCTGATGTAGCTTTGGACCTGATCAAGATTCTCGAAATCTGCACGTTTGGACTATTTTAGTATAATTCGCGAACATCAACCTTTTCGGTTCAGCTTTCTGCTCTTCACACCCGTATTCATTCCCCACCGCAAAAGTGTGGCCAGAATGCGATCCATTATGAGAGTTAAGAGTACCACTGTTACATTATCTCGAATATCTCTAAGATTCATTCGTCGCTCAAAGTTGTGGGACATGACTTCCCTTGTCTAATATGCTTGAAAGAATACATCCATCTCTTAGATTTGCAAGTTTTCTTCCTATATCTCTTGGACTGTAGTGGGAATTTATTTCTAGTTTGGAAGATCCTTGAATTTCTTTACCCGCGCAAGCCGTCGATGGCGTGGTCCTCAAGGAACTGTTTTTGATCATACTTAAGGCTTTGGCTCGGGAACAATCCATTATGCTAAAGTCCGAAGAAAAGCTATTGATGATCTAGACCATCCCACGGATTTAAGTTTATCTGGAATAAACGCGGGGGAAAACTCTTGGGTCCTTCATTCACACCACGTCATTGTGCTGTGTTTTGTAACCGAGAAGGGAATGTTTCCTCTGGAGCTGAAACATATCATTTTGTTAATATTCACCTTTTCAATCCATTCACTAGCGTTCAATTCATTACTGAAAAGAAACTCGACCTTGCTTAACTTTCTTGAAATTATCCTTCTCGTTACGTCCACAAGTCTGATCATCCAGATTATATGGCACACCAAGCCTTCATTGTACCTTTCTTCGTAGCGATTTTGTAAAATGGGTCTACTTATGCTCTAATAGTCGGCTCTCCATGGAACTTTTTAGTGTATATTACAGCAACAATCCTTCTCGACAAATTTACATTATTCGAAGGAAGACAATCGCTTACAGGGGACAATCGCTTTCCCCGACTGGGAACCAGGCGGCCGTTCCATGGAAAGTCGACTATTATATCGAACTTGTTCAAACAAACCTTTTCTGACATAGAATACAGAATCAGATTTCCGTTTCTTGCATTTCATACAATCTTCAGTCGAATATAAAATTATTAATCTAACGATCTTATTCACGGACTTAATTAGATTAACCCCACGAATGAAATAGAAAGAACCGAAACTTATATCCTATTATATCCATCAAAGTGTGCCGCGCAACCTGCCGCGCGCTGTCAATTGTCAACGTTTTGGCTCAGACCAAAGCTTATTTCATTCCACTACATTTTTTTTGGTGGGTAACGGGGCGGGTATCTCCACTATTCATCGCTCCCTGATCCGTGATAAATTCTCCCTTTCACCAATGTACCAGTCAAAGCTCGGTTTCTGTCTAACCCGATTGACTTTTATGATGGGGAAATAAGCGGTATATATAAATGATTGAAGAATCAGTAAATTGGATGATTTACATATCCACTTTTGTTTAATTTTGGTTGTTATCTCCGGAACTCCCATCTTGCAGTTTGACAGCGGGTTGGCTAACTAGTGTTAAATACAGTTAGACCAAACGAAAACGTGTTTGACTTTATTTTGACCGCTACTCCTCGTCGTAACATCTCATTACGGCCTTCAACATTCATATCCATTCTTCAACCAAAATGTGATATCCCCGACCATGAATTGTGAAAAGTTGCTCCGCCGCCTACACAAATTTTGTCCATGACCTGACCTAATTAGAAAAAACCAAGGCATTGATAACACCAAGTCCCCTGCATTGCATAATCCAGTTCGCAGATCAATCTCAATCTCAATCACAGCCATACATACGCAAAGCAGATGATCAAACCTCAAGCAAGAAGACATCCCCCAATTCCGAGCGCTTAATATGGCGTATCGGTGTAACACCAACTTCCAAGAGAGATAGATATCCACTCTCGTATCTCATCTCTCCCCTTGGCTCTTTTCTTTGATGGCTGCAAGCATGTTCTGTAGTCCAGAGTCTAGACATATTTTTCCCGTCCGTCGTTGATAGTACTGTAATATGGTATACTGTACTTACTTACGTACTTATTCATTTCATCAGCGACTTTATGGCGGAGTAGGAAGGAGTAGTGGTTCTACCGTGTACTAGTACGCCCACTTTGGTGCCGCGATGGATAGGGCAATCTCGCTACTTTGTATGAGTGAGTGTACGAGTGTGCGAGTGTGGGCTTGGCTCGTTTGCAAGCAAGGAAGTAAGTAAGGACGTAAGTAACTATCTTAAATGGAGGTATGCGGTAATGGTGAGTGGGGGGTACATGTACAGTAGATGGATGGTATCGTGGTTCTCTATCTTGACTCTTGAGATGTATGGGAGCACAGTACGAATATGAGATGGGATGGAATGGGAAGTGGGAATTACTGTCTGTTTTTGGTTTTTTGTTCTTATTTTGGTTCTCATCCTCGTCCTCAAGTTCCCTACATCCATCGTTTTCGAAGTGAAGTTAATGTATTTGAAAAAATCCTGATCAATGACTTGAAACATGAGCTTGTTTGCGTATACATGTACATGCAATATAGCATACATAACATAGTATACTCAAGTAGTCCTATACATCTATACCTCCATACCTCCAAACTTCCAGTATCATCTTTTTTTATAACTTCTGCATTTCTATACTTCTATACTTCTATACTTCTACAGTTCTGCAACAGTAGATGGAGATAGAGAAACTCCCATATCAGATTCATATATTGATTGTTTTCCTTTCAAGACTTTTCTTTTTTTCTTCTGATTTGCTTCTGGTTTTGTTTTTGAGATGTGTGTATTTTGGTGGGTTGGATAGTGTTGTAGTGTGTGGTGTGGTATGATATGGTATTTTATATAAGTTCAGTTCATTACATTACCCCATTCATTACCGTTTTATTGGCGTTGGCATTGACGTTGGAAATCGAGATATACTTCATTACTTCATCATTGAGCTATTACAAAGTACTACTCAACAGATTTTCTTTGCAAAATTCTATACAGGATATCAAGTACAAAGTAGTCGTTAGATATCCTGCACCCTATGAATCATGAATGATTTACCCATCTAGATATTTTTGTCGGGAAAGAAAATAATTGTAGGTTTACAAAGTTTATGAGTTTATATGAAGGTGTTTGAAGTTCTGATATTTAGGCAGATGCGGGAAAATGTTTCTTTGTTGGGTTTTTTTTGTTTGTTGGGAGAGTGGGAGAAAATATAGGGAGGTTTGTTTGAGGAAGGAAGAACAGAGAAAGAGTATAGAGGTAGATGTTGATTAGGTTTGAGGTTTGATAGGTTTGAGGTCGTTGTTGTTGTATTCAAGTAATTAGTTTACAAGAAATTTCATCAGTGGATGCGAGAACTTAATTAAGAACGTGATTGTTCTGAGGTTTTTGGGTTAGATTATCGTATTACATGTACTCAAGTAGTGATGAAGCTCATTGCGCATTCTCTGTTCTCGCTAAAAAGCTAGCTATTAGCTACTCGAGTAGAATACCCCCTCACTGACTTGCTAGTAATATTTGAAATGTTTATCTGGCCAGCTAGTAGCTGGTAGCTAGCTGCATCTATCTATGATAATTTTTCTCGGCTCCTTATCTTTTTTCTATGTACTGGTAGTCTGGCATCTAGATCTCGGTGATGGATGTCTTTGTTCGCTTATTAATTACTCGTAGATGAGTGGTTCGGTAAATGCAGATATATTAACTAGCCAAATTATTGGAATAGCACTGTTATATTATCTGCCTACCATCTTGAACCCCCTCCCCCCTCCCCCCCAACCCCCTCCCTTAGCTCCTAATCGAACTGTAGTACTTATTTTTACATTGTTCCTATTCCATGTTGTTAAAGTATTCCAACTGGTGTAAAGTAGACTTTACCCGATAGTTCTGTTGTTGTAACTACAACATTATGTCGAGACAATGTCTGAACAACAACATAATTCAAAATGTATAAATATATCTACAACCGCTATTGTTCTTACACATCCATCTTAAATAACCATCTACACATCATCCGCAAGGAAATATCTACAAGAAACATCTAGTCCATAGAAAGCGTAAGTCTAAATCTAGCAATATGGAACCAATTTCTTCATTAGATGCAAGAATCGACGAAATTCTAACCCCAGAAGAATATCTCCGTCGCGGCACCGCCGTGCTCCTTGCCAACGAACTTGCAGTCACCGCCATCCCCCAAACCGAAATCCAGTACCCGCACTGGAACAACCGCTACATGAACAAATTACGCGGACACTCGATCCCCAAGGCCGGAATCCTTTGCGACGGCGGTCTCGCCGCCATCTTCTCCGACCCGCAGCTCCAGATCGACGACACGGACAACCACTGGTACGCCTACAGTTTCTTGTCCCAAGAAGTCGCGCGCCGCAAAAACAAAGCAAAATACGCGTATCTGGGGACCGGCAACGTAGCGTCCATTTTCGCATCCGCGAAAGCTGGCACTATCATCATGCTCAATTCGTGCACTGCAGCTGATATCCCCACCCCGGGACAGGACACACCTCGTCTCTACAACAGCGAACTCATGTATCAAGCCTGGCGCGACACCTGTAGTGCGTATTCCTCAGCCGAGAATTCCACTGCACTTGCACTCCAGAAAAGTCTCAAGTTCATCATCCGTGCCCCGATTGCTAATCATGGTACGTATTCCACAATTGAAGGACTACTCGATAAGCGAGATCTCTCTACCGAAGAATGGGAGGCGGGTCCTCGGGTTACGTATACGGTTATCGATGAGCATGAGGTGGATAATGAGGATAGGAATATGGATATGGATAAGGATGCGTTTGCGATGTTGTGTGGCACGGCGAATGGGAGACCCGTGGTCAGAATGTGTGCGGATCATGCGCAGAGTTTGGGGGGGAAAAGAGTGGTGAGAGTCCATGTTTGGTATGATATGCCGAAGAATGAGGCCTTTGCTGCGTTGGTTTTTGAATTGGCGTAGGTCTTGATTTTTTTTTGGTTTGTTTGCCGGGCTTTCTGTTATTCGGTTAGATAAACTGAGATAGGATCTTGTGATGATGTTGGAAATTGGATTGGAGATTGAAGACTGAAGTGAAGTTTTGCTTTTGTCTGATCAGTGATTCCTCTCTTGATTTCCACTAACAGTACTGACGCTCTCTCCCGCTCTCCCCTTGAAATACAAATCGAATTAGATAAGGTTTCTTACTTTGGAGTTTGATTTATGAATGGAATATAGAGTATACTTTTCTCCAAACAAAACTAAAAGAATCAGAAAGAAATCTTTTGAAAAATATTATTATCTAGCATTTGAAAGAATTAGTGAAACCCAAGTGAATATTGTTTTGAAAATGTAATAGTGAGAATATGTTTTACTAGCGAGCGAGAAGCAAATGTTGTAAAAAAGAAAATAGAAACAAAGGAAACTAATAGATACTTACTCCGTGCATAGTAGACTGACTATATGGGCATAGAAGAGCCGGCCCCATAGCTCCACGTGTGTTGGAAAACGTTGGCCTGGGAGAAAAGTGACAATACATCCTCCCCAAAGGGGGAGTAGTAGACCGCAACTTAGATGACCTCGGGACGGACCATCTAATTGCAACGTTAAAGCTTCTTAAGTCGGCTCTTCGGCTTCATTCCTCGCCACCGAGTAGTAATTTCAAAGCAACGATGTAGGATTTCTGATGAGTTACACGCTAATTTTCCTGTTGACTTGTGAACTTCATATGCTCAAAACTTGCTCATTGGATCCGATTTCAAAGAGTTCAACGAAGGAATTTGGTTTGAGTGCACATTTATATCAAGATAATGCAAAATAAATTCTATCAGTTGGGTATTTCTTGTTCCAATAATTTCTACTGTTATCAATGCTAATTTACAAAATAGAAAACATGATTGCCAAATCTTGTTCAAGTACTCATACTTGATGTAGGAATAGCGGTGCTCCAGTTCATCGGAACGTACGGAACATAGCTCTCACGAGCCGAGCTACCGTAAACACTAGTGAGAAGGGCTTCAACTTCTGTCGTCAGAGGCAAAGGACTGGCAACAGCAATTACTGCCGAACTCGTGCGTGTCCTCAAAAGTCTCGTTACAGTGGTTCCGCCAGTGCCTGGCTCTAACGACCTTTTATCTGCAGCTCCCATTCCAGCACATGATAGTTTAGGCCCGCCAGCTGACACAATAGCTCGTTCGACACACCCAGCTTTGATAATAATTGGAAGATAGAAGTGCACATAAGCATACGATGTGTCCGTGGCATCGACGTAAGACCACCCTGTTAGAGCACCACAATCTTCTTCTTGTTTCTTAAGCGCCGCTCCACCATCTGTAGACCAGCCTACTATATTGTAAACCTCGAGTTGGTAAGCCAAACCAGAATCCCAAAGAGCGCAATCAGCTGCAGGAGTTGGGGTTGGCGTGGGTGTCGATGATGTTGTTGATGTAGTTTTTTGAGCGGTGGGACTGGCTTTACTAGTTGTACTGGTACTGGTACTCGTTTTGGTGGCTGTAGTATCGAATATTGAAAACCATAGGGACTTATTTATAGCATCTATGGACTGTGGACAGAATTAGTATTTGGGTTTTTTGGGGGGTAGTTAAACCGGAAGAAGAATGGGGATTGTTACACTCATAGCAGCAAGAGGGACGAAAGTAGCACTAAACAAATCCCCGCCATCATCTGTAACATATAATACAGTTTCAGAGTACACTGTCGAAGAGCTCGAGCTGGACTCACTTTCAGTCGAAGAAGAATCGTCACCATCATTACCACTGGAACCATCATTACTACCAAGGACACCTGGTGGACAGCTAGGACAGCCAGAATCGCAGAACAAAAGGCCTAAATCATACTTGTAAGTAGCAGGTCAAAGAAGGGAAAGAACCAAATTCAACTTACAAGGCTGACTACATCCTACACACCCGGCGCTAGTGGTAGGTTTAACAGCCGATCCTGATGTCCAGGAAGGGGTTTTTGAGTTTATCACAGGGTCCTTCGTAGAAGCCACGGTTGTAGGATACGGATTTGGAGTAATTGTCATTACAGATGGGGCCAAAGTAGTGCCGCCGATGATCGTTCTGCTTGCTCCTTCTGTTTCTGTTTGAGGGGAATCTGTGTAAGTAACGTCCCCCCAAATTACAGTGGTTCCGGAGTCTGTAGAAGTTGTCGTTGGCCCAACTATAGATTTGGTGCCGTTAACTACCCTAGAGAAGAGATATTGGGGTTATTTTACTTTCTTATACGCCCATAGACGAAAGTGTGAAGTAGAAAGAATGCTGCTTACGGTGTAACTGTAATAGCAAATGGATCGGGCTGCACAGAGACTGTTAAGATAATAGTACCGGAAGTCGAGCTTGTATCAATGGTAACATCCCAAACAGGAATGGCAGTTGTTGTCACTGGTTAGGTTCCGTCAGTAAACTGATATCAAATCCTCGCTTAGGATAACCAAAACATACCTGGTGGAATGCTAATGACTGTCAGGATTGGTACATATATGTACCATGGATATGTTGACGTTGAGCCGTCCGTTAAAGTAGATGTAAGAGTTGTCAAACTTGAGTATGAGACTGTGGTCGTTAACAATGGGAATGTAATAGTTGTCGTACTACTTAGGGGCATCGGAGGCCAGATAAGTGTTACACCTGGCACTGCAGTTATTGTCGGGGATGAAGAACTCCAAATATCTGGATTTACATAACAAGTACCGCCGCTTGTTGAGCTGGATGATGATGACGATGATGATGATGATTCATCACCATCGTTAGGTTGTAAATCAACGGCCCAATCTGATATGCCGAGGAAAAACATCTTTTCGTACATGTTCTTTCTAAACATCTTGTTTGAATCATTCATATAAGCAACCCATTGGGTTTCGTTGTAAACAACGATGTTAGAATAGGAATCATAATCCCAGATAACATCAGCTGTTGGATTTTCTGTAATGACCAGGTCGATTTCATAGTTTGTAATGTATCCAGCAGTATCAGTGCAGGGTCCGGGGAGTGCACCAGAGTCAGGCCCAACGTATGTGCACTCAGGCCCCAACACCCAGCTGTGGTCATTTCAAAGGATCGACCATAGCTGGTGACACCGATGGCTATCATATTGGATGGAACACCCGCTTTGGTAATCATCGAAAGAGCAGTTACGGTCTCAGTCAAATTGATGTGAGATCGTAAACAGTCACCTCCACCTGCACATCCATCATCTGCGAATAAACTGGTGTAGTCCCATTGTCCGTGTAAATCTATTTCATCGTAAAGTCTATCAGCATATAATCTTCGGTGTAATCTAGAAAGTTTGGTATTTTGGAACGAGATCGAAGCAATTCGCTTTGTAGAGATGACCCGGAGGATTAAATATTTGAGAAAGAAAAGATATTTTTGGTGCGACGACGCAAGAGATACGTACCATAGGTCATCAAGACAATGTAGTCAAGGACTTCACTGAGAGCCAATATGGGAAAATATTGGAGATACCAATACGATGCTGGAGCGGCAATAGAGACTGTCTTGCCAGGAGCATTGGCAGTAACACTAATTTGCAGTTCATCCAGCAGCAAAAAGTAGCCGGTGCTGTCTGCTTCTGTACCAGCAGGAATTCCGGGAATATCGGGCTCATCGGGATATTCCCAATCCCAATCAACACCATCTAGGTCCCATTCATTCAAAAACTCTACCACATTAGAGATTACTGTCTCGCGATTTGCTTCGGAACTCACTGCATCACGGAATATCATATAGGTATCCGGGTCGGCAGAGAAATCCCACCCGCCGATGGAGATGATTCGTTTCACATCAGTCAAAGTAGCGAAAAAAGGCAACTGTGCTTCTACACTGCTTACGTTGATAGAAAAATCAGCGTTGAGTGTAGCAAAGGCGAAATGAACATGGGTATATGCTGTGGTATTGACGTCCTGAACAGACATTTTCAAACAAGGTCTGGCCCAGTCAGAGCCATCGAAATATGCAATTGAGAAGACTTCTGCAGGAGCATCAGACGCAATAATAGTAGTCCCACAGTTTGATATGCATCCGTTTTGCCCTGCAGCAGCCGTTCCAGGAGCGCCAGTGGTCGATGTAGATATGGTGCAGAAATCATATGTAGTTCCACATTGACCCCATACATCACAACAAGCGTTCAATGGGCACTTATTTAAGGTAGTCAAATCGGAACTCGGAGAAGCAGTAGCAGTGCCGTTGACCTGTGGTCCACATACAGCATTGGCGATTGTTGTAGGCATTGGAGGGTATCCCGTGCTCAGACAAATATAGTACCCAGCGTACAGATCTATACATCCATTCCAGCCCCAAGTATCTGCATTATTGCTCTCGATGTCGGCTTTAGTAATATCGTAGGCGGCGGCAAGAGCTGAACACGAATTTCCTGTCTGAACTAGGTACGAATAGCAGTTTCCATCTGCATCCGGTTGTGGAGTATTGTAAGGAAGAGTACCATCACTGCAGCATACATAGTCGCCCACGGTAAGACTGGAACACTCTGTTGAGCTCGGATTGTAATCGGTAAACTCGGCTGCTGTAATTCCACATTCTGCAGCAAGTGTGGCACATGTATCTCCAGATACTACTTGCACTGTGGTACATGTATCGCGTGTAGACAGTTTTCGGCCATGCAAATTACTTTGAGATCGCCCTGATAATGTGGTAGGATTGCTAATTGTGACGTTGGTTCCATTTTCCGAAACGAATGGGGCAAGAAAAGTGATATCTTTCCAGGCTTGGGTAGTCTCGCCTGTAGTATTGACACAGGTGCTGTTCTTCCACGACTGGACATATTGCTGAGCTAACGAAAGGTCGGCGTTGGTGTTTATCGCTATTCCGAAAGAGTATCTAGCTGTGCTGTCATCGCAAAGCTGAACCACAACACTCTCGGAAATAGAGCTGTCACTCTCAATTTGAGTAGCGAGTTGCTCGAGGACAGAAGTGATTATGCCTTGGCTGGCAATTCCTGACCCAGCATAAACACCAATAGCGACGGTTCTGGAATAGGCGAAATTGATAGTCTCGTTGCAAGAAGTTCCACGCAAGGATGATAGGGCTTGTAACTGCTCGAGGGTAGTAACAACATCAGCGACGTTAGTCGAAGACAAAGTATCGGTGGAGGTCAACTGCAAGGTAGACGTGAATTCTGTCTGTTTCAAGCTATCTAGCTGGCCTGTTGTGTCGTTTGCTGCGAGGACCGTGCTGTCGGCTGATTCCAGGTCCGCATTACACACAGCGATTTTGATATGCGTATTGAGATCATCGAGCTGATTGAACAAGGCAAAATCGAGTAACATAGTGCTGTTACACAGATCAAGACGATTGATGCTGTGATAAACAAACCAGTCCATGGAATCGATGCCAGCACTACTGCATCTCGAAGGACAGCGACTTCTCGTTGCAGAGGGCAGTTCAGAGCTAAAGTTTCCAGCTAAAACTTCAGCCCTTAGGATAGCCCTATCTCGTGATGCTTTTTGGGTTGCTGCAGAACTAATCGTAAATGCTCCATTGCTCAGATACGTCTCTGCAGAATTGCTGACTGCATTAAGTGTATCATTGTCTGATGCCAGAGCACCATGAGTAGACCTAGCGGCCACTACCAAAGTAGCGATTGCAACTATAAGTCGTCTCATGGTAAATAATAGGTGAAGGTTGGAGAAAAGAGGAGAAAAGAACGAAGTAGACTGGCTTGAGCTATATATATAATGAAATAAGAAGAGTAGTGTTGTTTCTCACCGGGTCCATAGAGAGTAAAAAAACGGAACTACCAAAACTGAACACAATGGGAAGGTTCTCACCTCTATTCTGATATTGCCGTATACATGGCACTTTGGAGTCTAGATTCGCCTGAAGAGCTGATTATGCATGCCTACTTTGTGTTCCTGCATGATATTTTCAGGCTTGAATGTAAGCCCGGATATCAGCAATACCGGGTACAACTTTGCTAGGAACTATACTAAAACAAGGCATCTAATTTCGCGATGCAAGGTTGTAACCAGGGCACAACCCCACATACGGGTATTCGGCGTGATCCCCATAGCTTTTATAAACCCACAATCCACGCTAGACCCTTAACTAGATTGTTAACTTCTACTCGGATCCGCCCCCACCTGTTACTTTGTGGCATTAAACCCCTTGCTTTTCGAAGCTTATACAATGATTCTCAATGATCATCGATGAAATGCCAAATAGTCTTTTTGTCCGCTAAACTCGGCTAGTGAGGTAAAGGGGGAGGATACATCGGATTAGACCCCTACATATAAATCATAAAATGGTAGGGATTATCGACCAATAGAACTTGGAAACTTTTAAAGATTTTGCTCAATTGAGTAATTCCGTTGATAAAACCGACTTGTAGGGGTCTAATCCGACGTGTCCCCCCCTCCTTTATTTGCTAGATCCAAGTCGAAGAAAATGGTCCTGGTCTTGGTCCTGGATAGACTGCCCGTCCGTCCATCTCACACAACGGAAAAATGCAATCCACACTCTGAATACAAAATAGGGACCAAGCCCAATACTAATAATAAGCTGCAAGAGCAATGAGCGTATGTTGCAGGGTTACCTGCATCGAAGTCTGGATGGGAAGTAGTAGCATACTGGCACAGTCATAAACAGTTCTCACTCCACTCTTTACTCGAGTGGAGTTAGAACATATCTTGCAACTTATATCTGGTGCACTTTTGGGTCATGGCTCTTAAATATGACCAATAAACCTGAATTGATTCGGTCACAATTCAATATTTGAAGGTCAAGATTCTTTCTACCCATCCTTCTACACCTTTTTTGATGCTTCTCCTTTCCGACTAAAACCAAGCATTTTTTAAACATGTATTTCTCACTTAGAAATCTGTTACCCATTATCCTTTTACCTGGCATTATCAGCACTGCTCCAGTAAATGCCTAGCAATCTGATGAGTACCTAAACAAAACTCTTATTCGCCGAGCGCCCAGAGCTGCATCCATATTTAACTTACAAGGCTGTACTGCATCCCAGTAATCGACCATCGATAATTGGATAGGAGAGATAACCTTACTACATAATGCAGCGACGACGGCCTATGCATCTGATGATAATGGACATATTTACCAAATGGGTATTATATTGGGCATCCAGTTTGAAGCAACAGAGGACGGACAGGTAGTAGCTTCAGATACCAGTGATGGTAGTCTCTGGGCCAATATTGGAAGTACATGAACTCCCCTCAATCAAAGTCAACACGATAAATGTATTAACTCCAATGAATAGTTCGTTTGTCCGCAGTCTCCCAGCTATTGAGTGGAGGTGGCCTGGCTGGCTCAACAACTGACAATCCTCCATATCTGTTCTGTGGTGATTCTTTTGGCACTTATGTTCCGTGAACCCAACCTGTCAAGAACAAAAATGGAGATACAGTTCCGGATCCAAATAATGATAACAATCCCTACACGGTTGCAACAGTCTTTGCCGGAAAATTTACCCAGGGCGGCCATCTCCACTTCTGGATATCTGCTCTAAAGGGCTGGATCTTCGATTCAAACGGTGCAACAACGCTGTGCGGAAAGATTTCTCTTTACGCAGCGACTACCAAGCGATCAACCGCGAGTGAAATAGACACAGTGAAAACCAATACATTTGATAGATTTACCTGGTTATGTCCAAGAGCATTTACTCCTCTGGTTGGAAACGATGGAACAACTAAGGCTACCAGCGCACCTCATTCGGCTCCTCTTCTTTCGACAGCAGTCGCCTATGATTCATATCCTAGTGCTGGGACTCGTATAGGATTGGATACATTAGCACTGATCAGTAGTACACTCTATCACGAACTCTTTCATTTGACTGACGCCGCGCAAACTACCGCTGACCCGTATAGTAAGTGCTTTGTATTTATCTTCCTTCAATGTATAGGTATACTGATTTGGTCCTCCCTAATTATAGCTAAAATGGATGATATCTATGAGGCCGGGGGTGAATTTCATGCTTCGAATGTTGCTAATAATCCCGAGTCTTATGTCTTATTTGCACTTGCGTCGTACATCTACAGCAATCCACCTACTGGCAGCCCCGATAAAGTAGCGGTTGTGTTCCCTGGGGGATTCTCAAAGACTATAGATTGATGGACGAAGAAGAAGATGAATATCCTGTTTCATCTACTTTTTGGTAGATTGGTGTAGGCAGTGAAACTATTTTTCGAAACGTCAGAAAGAATATATGGTTTATCAACTAAGATTAATCTACTCACCATAACATATAATTCGTTGTGCATCAGTATACGTGGAGAATACTTTCATCGTTTGATAATTCCAATTGAAATCGTAGATTTCACAGCATTGTTTCCTGCCTTACGTGTTGTAAGGAAAACTTAATAGTTTTAACACAATCTACACAGAGTAGTGGGTAGACTCACGCTCAGAGGCACTTTGGTTACCTGTGATTCTATTCTTAGACCTACTCGTGCGGCCAATAAGTATGCAACTCCGAGGCTTCGAAAACCAGATTAGTTCTTAGTTTACCATCTTGTGGTATGCGCATGTAGCTTCGGAGTTGCGTAATTTCTGGCCGTACGAAGAAGGTAAAAATTCTCCACATGGAAGCGGGGATAACATCCAAATGGTAACGATTGCGAGTTTATCTGACATGACCTATACTTTCTTATTGACCCAACCATATTAAAATTGCTGCCGCTATTCAACGGATATTGACATTGTTGTCATGCGGCGGGAAAGGCTATGTGTGATAGTGACAAACTATCGGATTAACCTATAATTTTGCACCCGAAAAATTTCCTCAAATCCTCTATTGACAGACACAAAGTAGATAGTCACCATGCAGTATCAGTTGAGCTGTTCTCTTACTAGATAGACCCCGAAATTAGATTTCTGCAGTCTGCAGATTGGGATATAGATTTTTGCAAAGCTGACTCGGCTCACTTGGAGGTTTCCTCGTCTCTGTGAGCTAGGTATGGGGGCCGTTGTTCAATATCTTAGAGTGGGGAGAAGTAACGGGCCGCCACACTATGTTAAACGAGACGGGAGTATGCGTCCCTACTCCACACATCAGATGTTTTTTATGTCCGTACCGCATTTTTACTTCCTTAAAAATCTCCACTGCTAAAAAGGGCTCTGGCTTACTGCAGCAAAATCTATTTTCTGAAGAGAAGATCACCCGCGATCCCAGTATTGTCAACGTCGTTGTGAGGATCAGCCCATATTATAGTTAGGGACGGAGCGTACGAGCAAACGAATATAGTAAAGTTAAAAGCACAGACGTTATACTCATATGCATAACGTCTTTTCGAAACTTTATTTTTGATAAAAATTGAATCTATAAATAAGTAATTAAAAGATTAATAATGTATAATAATTATACAAGTTTTGAGATTATATTGATAAAGTTGGAATAATTGAATTTTTCGAGTTTCAATTCAGATGAAACTCGCGAAGTACAAAAAAATTATTTTTTCGAAAAGATATTATATTAATATATCTACTCGAGTAGTTTAATATGTTCCGGGCCATATCGCAACAAACTCATTCCGCAATGAACTACGTATATTCCACAATAAACTAGTATATTGCCTAATAAACTAGCTCATTCCACAATGAGCTAGTTCATTATCTAATATACTAGGTTGTGGTATAAGCTAGTGTCGGTATAGTCATCTACTGTACCGGAGTACTGGCACCGTACTAGCGAAGGGCTAGGGCAAGCCTTAGCGAAAGGGCTTCAATACACATATAGTCTCCATCATGTAGAATAGTAATCAACAAGCTTTTATTGATATCAACACTGAACACCCGTCGGACTTTCTACCATCGTAGATCTGAAAGGTGTTCCCGTTGATACCAACAATATCAAATGCAGAATCGAAATATATTATTATAGCCATATTTATTAAACAAGGAAGATAGTTAGTCTAAGTATTGAAGGATTTATCAAAGGCTTAGTATATCGGAATAAATAATGAAATTATCCAAATGCTAGGAGATAACTAAGGAGCTATAATATTGATTAAAAATTTATATCTACATAAAAGATCTAAGTATATTAATATATACTATTATTTTATTAGAGATTTAATGGAAAAAGGAAAAGTCTTCATTAGTTATATCAATACCATTAATATAATAGCTAATGGGATGATAAAGTTATATAGAAAGATTATATTTGAAAGATTCTATAGGATATTGGGGTTAGTAATATAACCAAAGGAAATATGAATAATATTTATAAAGGTGTAATCTTAATAAATAAAATGTTAAAAGTTGAGGTTAAAGGGAATCATGTGTATATGAGTATATAATTGGTAAAAACATTAAGTGGTTTTTCCATTAAGGTAATAACCTTGGGTAAAAAAAGAGCTTAACTCTATTAGTTCAACCTTTCTTAAAAAAGTCAATAATACTGCTACTTCCACTATGCTATAGGGCATCACTTTCTAACATAATCTATTAATCATTGGTGATCATAAGAATATCAATAGTATTAAAAGAATAATCAATAAATAATAGAAATGCAAGGACTTAGAACCTACGAAAATCTTTCTTAACCTTGAGATCAAACAAAACTGTTTTATTCGATAGTTCAAAATTCATTAATAATTATATATAAGAAAGATATTAAAAAGATTCGGTATTAAAAGATATTCTAAGAAAGATTTATCATTATCACCAGAAATAATAATTCGGGAGGCAAAGAAAAAGAATT